GGTGTTTGAGAAGCGGCGGTGGCGGACGCTTCCGCTTCTCTGAGGGCCCCCGTTTGTGAGCGCAGAGGTGGGCGGACTGCGGGGTGCTGAATTTGAGGGCTCCCGAGTGGGACTGGAGGAGGACGAAGGGTGCCGCCTTAAAGCGGAGATTGCCGGCTGCTGACTCCTGGCTACGGGTTCGAGATCTCCCTTTTGCTCTGTGCACACCCTCTTGCTGAAATTCTGCACCCCGTCGCTCAACACTGATTTATCAGGAGGCTTTTTGCTGGGGTGCGGTGCAATGCGTGGGTAGGAGTCAAGAATGGGTAGGTAGGGGGTAACTTTCTTCCCTGAAGTACTGTTCTTTTGGGAGAAAGGCTTGTGGATTCGGAGGGCGGCGGGCATCAAGCTAGGCTGCTGGAAAAAGATCCTGTGAGCGCCATCGGAACCAGCGACGTCACTGCTACTCTTAGTCCAAAACCGCCGCGCACTTTTTGGGATGGCTTCTGTCTAAAGGGATAAAGAAGACAAGGGTAAGAATCAGCAGGAACCAGAACTGAGGGACGGCATTAAAGAAGGACAGTAAACACCGTCGCACGTGTTCATGGAGTCACTGCTACTCTTATTCCAAAACCGCCGCCCACTTTTTGGGATGGCTTCTGTCTAAAGGGATAAAGAAGACAAGGGTAAGAATCAGGAGGAACCAGAACTGAGGGACGGCATTAAAGGACAGTCAACACCGTCGCACGTGTTCATGGGCAAATCAAACAACATTTTCAGACAAATATTGCTTCGTTGTTGCAGTCAGGCCATTTTCAGACAAATATTGCTTCGTTGTTGCAGTCATACGGAACGTTGTGTTGTGCTACCTCTCACACAGCGTGTTAGTGGTTCACTCCACGCATCACGCGGCCCAATCACACGTGCAAAAGGGCGAATTTGTCATATTAATTCTCGATCCATTCACGTTGGGGAAAATTTGCTTCGGGTAGCGAGGAGTCGAAGAACGAATTAAGTGAACCGAGGTTCCACTGTAAACATTCGCTGCATTAGAGATGCATTCCAAGCAAAGTAGCAAGTCTGTATTTATTCAGCTGTAATTTCTGGACAAACACCGATGGAGGACATTGCCACCGACAAAGTGCACGTTTATCCAGCTGTTGCAGCTTTACGCTTTCGCATAATTCGATGCTTGGCAATGCCAGTAGAATTGCTTTCAATGCAGCGGGGAGTGGGCAGTGAGTCTCATGCGCTAATATTCACAATCTGGTGCCTGACCCTCAAAGTGGATTTACGCTTGCGTCAAGTCACCACTTGATTTAAGATCATAACCGTCTTTACCTGCTTGAGTGCTCTGTGGTTGAGGATGTAGATGGGCTGTATTGCTTGGCCCCTTGGCATCCATTTAGGATCGCCGGGTTTTCCTTTCCCACAATCTTGGCTTTGAACAAAACCCAGCACAGCTCCAGCCTCTCTTGCCTGATGTTTATTGCTCTGCTGATCCGCATCCGTCTGCTGCCAATCAGCGCAGTTGTCTGAGAAATATAATCATTGGTTTGTGAGACGTTTAGATCAGCGCTTCCCAACGTCAGAATGCTTTGGGAACGCTGCTTTAGCTGATAAACTGCAGACCGTGTTGGCGAAAACTAGCTCCAGGCAATTGAAGCCAGGCGTACTTTTTGTTACATATTCCCAAATGTTTCATTTCAACTCACCGGAGTAGCCAGAGTCCTTTTCCGAGCTGCAGCGGGAGCCACGCTCGCTGCGGTCGTCAGAGTCCTTGTTCTTTCTCATCGCCCGCAGAGTCGAACTGTTGCTCTTTTCTTTGGCATTCTTGCTGCTTGCAAGAGGAGAACTACACTCACCCATGACAAGCTCCTCTTTTACCATACTGGCTTCTGAAGACGAATAAACAAACAAAAAAAATATATAATCAAAGACCAATTCATCATCCATCCACTTTCTACAGCATGTTTCCTCATTGGGGTCCCATATCCCAGCTAACTGTGGGTTGAGTGGTGCACGCCCTGGACTGGTCACCAGCCAATTGAAGGGCGCGCCAGTTCGTCATCATCAGGTCTGTTCAAAGAATTCCAGATTTTAAACTCCTGCCCAAACTGTTCTTTGTTCTGCCTGGTTGCAGCTGTAAGACAGGTTGTGGCCCTGCCTTCACCCTCCAACAAGCTGCAACAAAACCTGCAATGATGTTTTCGTCTTTCCACTGGAATAGAAATGACACCGCAGAGAGTGCAGAGAGGCGGAAAAATGGTTGAACAGTAAAAGCAGCTGGTGAGCGCCTGCGATGATCATGTGCCATCATGATCAACAGTGGAAAACTCATCTTTTACCATACTGGCTTCTGAAGACGAATAAACAAACAAAAAAAAAATACAATCAAAGACCAATTCATCATCCATCCACCCATCGATTTTCTACAGCATGTTTCCTCATTGGGGTCCCATATCCCAGCTGACTGTGGGTTGAGTGGTGCACGCCCTGGACTGGTCACCAGCCAATTGAAGGGCGCGCCAGTTCGTCATCATCAGGTCTGTTCAAAGAATTCCAGATTTTAAACTCCTGCCCAAACTGTTCTTTGTTCTGCCTGGTTGCAGCTGTAAGACAGGTTGTGGCCCTGCCTTCACCCTCCAACAAGCTGCAACAAAACCTGCAATGATGTTTTCGTCTTTCCGCTGGAATAGAAATGACACCGCAGAGAGTGCAGAGAGGCGGAAAAATGGTTGAACAGTAAAAGCAGCTGGTGAGCGCCTGCGATGATCATGTGCCATCATGATCAACAGGGTACGAAGACCATTGGTGTCAAAATCAAGTACTCCAAATTGGAGTATTGAGAAAGGATTGAGAACAAATGTCACTTTGACAGGATGCCCAAAAAAAAAAAAAAAATTCAGAGGTTCCACTGGATAATCATTCTTAAAATGCTCAATAACATCCACCACTCTGTACAAGTGTGAAAGAAGAGGATGGGAGAGCGGCCAGGCAGTGTGTTGACAACTTTACCTGCAGGCTCTCTAAATCAGAGAATCAGAGCGAGAACAACTTGTCCTCAATCATGTTCTGCTGAACCTTGTCAACATCAATTGATTCCTATCACTTGTGACACATGCACCAGTCAAAACATTACATACCCTGGTGCCATGTCATCGTATGGAACAAAACCGCTGTCTTTATAACAGTCACTTTCAATAATCAGACTGTCTATTGACGATGACAAATAGGTGAAGATTTTTTTTTTGGCATGCATTGTTTGTAATATGCCATTGTGGTTGTAGAATTGCACTGCATTGTAGTGAAGGGTCTTTTCTTAGCCTGAACTGATTGCATGCGCAGAAACACCACACACTGACCCTTCTCCTCTCCAGGAGAGACAACTCTTAACAAAGCCACCCACACCATCTGGTGGCACAGATTAAAAGTGATGACACACTGCACACATAATAAAGTGAGTTTTTTTTAAATGTATTGAGAATCAGAGCGAGAACAACTTGTCCTCAATCATGTTCTGCTGAACCTTGTCAACATCAATTGATTCCTATCACTTGTGACACATGCACCAGTCAAAACATTACATACCCTGGTGCCATGTCATCGTATGGAACAAAACCGCTGTCTTTATAACAGTCACTTTCAATAATCAGACTGTCTATTGACGATGACAAATAGGTGAAGATTTTTTTTTTGGCATGCATTGTTTGTAATATGCCATTGTGGTTGTAGAATTGCACTGCATTGTAGTGAAGGGTCTTTTCTTAGCCTGAACTGATTGCATGCGCAGAAACACCACACACTGACCCTTCTCCTCTCCAGGAGAGACAACTCTTAACAAAGCCACCCACACCATCTGGTGGCACAGATTAAAAGTGATGACACATTTTACACATACAGTAATAAAGTGAGTTTTTTAATGTATTTATATTTACAGTATAATACTATATACTTCTTGTATATATTTATAAGACTATATACTTCTTGTATAATTGTTAGGGTGATCGTTTTTAGTTACCTTTCAGTAGAAACACTAAAGGTGGTTAAAAAAAAACGCAACATGTGTTTTGAATGACTGGCAAAAGGACTTTTTTAAAACTACGAAGGGAGTCAGAAAACGGATTATGGTGACATTAACTGGCAATTGTATATTATGGGCAGATTGGCCAGCCCGAAAGTCTGCATTTCCAAGCCCGTTGGGATCCCATTCCCTCCGCTGTTGTGGAAATTACAGGAAGTACTTGAAAGTGACACAACAACACACACCCCCGCCCCCTCCTATATTATGTAACACCCAACTTCACAGCCGCCAAACACTTTCTACTGTTTGGCATACAAAAACAACTCCACTCATCTAAGACAATGGTCGACGAGCACAATTGTGTGTTACTGACAGACGTCATGAGTGTAATATATCATTTAAACGCAGCCGCCCCCTCCTATTATGTAACACCCAACTTCACAGCCGCCAAACACTTTCTACTGTTTGGCATACAAAAACGACACTCATCTAAGACAATGGTCGTAATGGTCGACGAGCACAATTTCTGTGTTATTGACAGACGTCATGAGTGTAATATATCATTTAAACGCAAGCTCGAACAAAATATCGTATATTGTCGAGGCTGTGTGTAGTGGCTTTACCTAGTGCTCATAACTTACCTACAGATGTTAACCAGTTATTTCCAACAGTAACGGCAGATTCTCCCCACTGGTTCGCTGATATGACGCCGAACAACGCCGCGATTCTCTCTCACAGCCATGTTGAAAGTATCTGTCGGTGTTCGGGTATAGAAATACTGTAATTAAATTTCGTATTGTCTCTTTAAAGGCCGTCTAATATGGACAAGTGAAACGGGTTGTGATTTGTCCGGCAGACAAAATTGCCTGAACGTAGCAGCAGCTCAACCGTTCCATTTCAAAATAAAATAAGTATATAAAAAACGCTAGATGTATTACCATTACACGCGTTGCAAAATTAAGTCATGTCGGCATTGTACTCTTAATGTCACACTTACCATGACGTTGATCCGTCACTGGCACCTCGGAACGCCTTTGTTTTGAAATCTCAATCGGTATACAGTACTGTCGTACACTGGACGCCAGACCACCCGACGCGACCACAAAGTGTTAAGAGTAACGGAGAATCAAATAGTGTTATTCGCTTGGTCTGCGCATGTCGCACAAGGTCAGACGCTGGCCATCTTGGCACTGGAACAAGTGTAAGGTGTTTTGCAAGTGTTTGGGTGCGTAACCCGAACTGAACCCACATCCAGCCTCAAGGAGCTGCGTAAATGAGCTAAACGCCAATTGGTCTTCTCGACAACTACAAGAACCAATCATAGCTTGGCCCACGGACGAAAGTCGGAAGTGAAAGATTGTCTTTCAAAAACAACCAAAAAGGGATGGACATGGGGCAAGGTACACTCTGTTCCGGCGTCAGCGTTTTCCAAATGTCCTGTAATTATGACTTGACTACCGAGTTATCGTAGGTTGTGATAAACGTGTTTGCAAATTCGGTGAACGTCGCCAATATGGAAACTGAACTGTCAAACCAACGACATTTGTAACTCCAAAATTGGCAAGTTTGTGTAGTATTGGAAGCGGCGAGCTTGAAAGGGGATTGTGCATCGAGATCTGAAAGGAAAACTAAATAACCTCTGCTGTGCAGATCCTAAAGCTGCCGCATGAATGCACAAAGCGCCATCGTAAACAAGCCCAACGTATGCGCACGCACACAGGCGGCTGAGAGGTCATTTCAGGACACAGTTGCTTCCCCACACGGCATTGAATCAAACGTTGCACAATAGCTCGAGCACGCTGTGACGATATTTGTGAATTCTGTTGGGCTACATTTTAAAGTAGTTTGCAGCAGACACTTTATTTTTTACATTAAAAGTTAAACCATTTCACAAACAGCCCACATTCTCTCCACAAAAAAAACAACAAAAAACAAAACAGGAATACAATTTCAAATATTTTCTAAATGAGCTGCAATATTCGATCATAAAATGGGTGCAAACATTGGCTAGTAACAATGTTTGTTATCATATTATTCACCCTTCTTCCTCCCCAGGTCAGAAAGGAATCAAGATGGACTTGGGTATCATCACCATCTTGCCTCAGTACACAAGTGCAAGTCAAGTGCACATGCCCAGCAGCGCAGCGGTGTTTTTAAGACCAGGGTGTCTGCTGACATGCATGGTTTCCGGGGAGGAGAACTTGATAAAAGTAGCACAGGTCTCTTGAGCGAGCGCTTTGGCTGCAGCGGCAGCCAGAATTTGCATTATTCTCAGTAGAACGGTCTCACTACAAACAAAGCAGACGGCGATTAAAACAACGACTGGGAACAATGGGAACACAAATAGCCGCATACCTGCCGGCGTGGATGCCGGAGGCTAGACACCAGGCGGCCTCGCCCTCTGGGGTCAGGGGCTCCTGCAGGACTTGCCGGGCCAAGCAAAGGGCCGCCCCCGCCAACTGCATGGGCAGAAACACCACACACCGACCCTCCAGGAGAGACAACTCCAGCAGGTAGCGAGCCATCCACACCATCTGGTGGCACAGATCACAAGTGATGACACATTGCTTTTTTTTTTTTGTTTTTTTTTTTTTTTTAAATGCGGTCTTGCATACTATACTGTAGTACAGGGATGGCCACGTACTCAGGGCAACAACTTTTACTGCATGACTACAAAGAGCCACACCATACATAAACTGCCCCAGTCTCCTCATTCCCTCGCTCTTTTGACCAACTCCACTTCGATGAATGCCTTTTTATGGAATATGAATTAAGCAGCAAAATCCATCCGTTTTTGTCCATCTCAAGGGGTGGGCGGCATTTTGCTATTTACTGTCAACCCGAAAATGACATCACCGTTGCTCAGGTAACAACCAATCACAGCTGACCCGTTTCTGGGTTTGTCATGTGACTTTATCGAGCTGAGCTGTGATGTCATTTTCAGTCAACAAAAGTGTCAAAATGGTCAGCCACTTAGATGGATAAAAACGTTGATTTTGCTGCTTTATTCATATTCCAACAAGTACAATATTAATCAACGAATCAAAATCTCATGATTTGACCTTGGCTGCATTAAAATAAAACGTTAACAGTCACCTGAGCACTGCAACGGGAAATGGAGGCGAGCAGCAAAAGGAAATGCAAAGGGGGACAGTATGACAAGTTAAACTTAAGCCCAGTGAGGACTTTTCTCTCCATGCGCAGCAGCTGATGCTTGGTGTAGGCATGATCCATTAGGTAGCACAGTCCAGACACCTGAGGAAGGGGGGACATGGTCACGTTGAAATAAAACGGCCAACACCGGCGGAGGCCCGAGTAAACATACCTCAGGTAGGAGGCACTCCTCTTTCTTAGCAGCTAGAAAGAGGCAGACTATGCCAAGGAGCTGCAGGGTGGCTGTGGTCACTTTGACCTGACGGAGGGAGCGGTTGAGGAGGTGAATGGCCAGATAGAGCGTCTCCTCCTCGAAGTGCATCAACTCCTGATGGGAAACGTGCAGACGCAGCTTACATTTCGACATCGTTTCTTTGAGTGAATCATCTACAATATTAGCTAAACTTTTGGATTGCTTGATTAATTAATTAATAAAACACATTGGACATGACAACGGCACACACACTGTCCTACATCATCTTCAAACGCCTTCTCAAATGTTTTAAGCTGTGAGCGACGCAATGAAAATAAAATGAGCCGTTTTGGCATTCTTGCATTCGAGGCCGCGTAGACTCACGTGGACTTGAACAAGCCAGTCGACCAGGACAGCTCGAGTGGCATCAGTGAAGTGTCGTGGCAGCTCAGCATTGGGCAAAGTGTGCCAAGTTTGACTTCTCTGCATACATAAGAAAGTGAAGCCTTAATTGAAATAAAGAAATTAAATAATGAGAAACTGAGTTACGTTTAAAAGCACTATGGAAATTTGACTTTTTACGACCACAAAGTTCTCCGCAATGCCTGCCCACACATCATGTGTGATACTAAACAACGACAAATATTTTCCGGACATTGCTGCGTGCCATAAATATGCTAAGTCATCAGGGAGCAGTTTTAAATGGTGAAATAAAATGCACAATGTGTCTTTCAGCTCAGCCTCACCATCATGTCTAAGAACATTTCCCAGGCAAACGTGCGGTCCCATGCGAGGTCCAGCTTCTCGAGGGCTATCTCCACTTCATGGCGCAGCAAGCTGGGCACCAGCGCCTGGAGGCCGGGGAAGCGCTGCAGGCTGCGAGGGTAAAGACGCAAAGGCTCCTCCAGAAATCCATCTGCTGCGTGTGGATCAAAAGGCGGATACGTAGCGAAAAGTACATGCAAATGAGCACTGCATTCAACAACAGATCTCCTTCATTTTGCTTGAACACCTTTGGCAGGACTGATGCTGCCAGATGAGTAGGTCCACACTTCATCACTGAACCCTACAAAGATGCTGTTCATTTTGGCAGATAATATCCTGTCCTGTAAAGAGAAAAAATGTGTTTTTGTATTTAAAAAAAAAAGTACAGTCTTCTATAAAAAAAAAAAGCCTCCTACAGCAGAAGCGCACAATTCATAACCCCCCCCCCTCCAAAAAAAAAAAATCTGAATCACAACAAATTGCTCTGTGAAAATATGCATCAAGACTTGGGTCTGCATGAGTAAAGCTTCATGGTAACATTTAAGACACAAGACACTTTATCCTAAAATTAATTTAAGTTCTGTACAGTATAGAGTGAAGGCAGGACAGACGCCCATCTGGGTTCTGGCTCCCTCTTTGCAGGCACCAATCTGGACTCTGACACCGCCACTGGCTGCCAGCAATCGGTGGGCCCAAAGACAGTCGGCAAAGTTCTGATGAGGCCTCGCCTCTCGTCCGCCTGAGGGATCAAACAAATAGGTGACAAGAAGGGGATTGTTTTTAAACCAAATTAATTAATACAAGTTGCACTACTGGCTACGTAATTGGTACTAATCCAAACAATATTGTTCCGTCTTGGGGAAGGCCGATTTCGCGCCATAGTTTTAAAATGTTTTCGTGAATTCTCGAGTGTCAAGTCACTAATAGCCAGGATAGCACGACTCATGCAATAAAAAGGCATGCGAACAACAATTTATAACACTAATTAAGTGCCGTTTAGTATTTACTTTAAATGAGTAACAGGTGACATAAAAAAAAAAGTATAACTGTAATCTCAGTTTAGGTTTCACGAAATTATAACATTAACATTTTCGGTGGGGGGCGGAGCGTCACGAAATTATTTATAATGTTTATTTTCGAGTCCAAGCTGACCTTGTGTAAGTCCAGCAGAGGTTTGGAGTCGTAGAAACTGGTCCTGGCCATGTTCACAGCCGGAGACGGAGTTCCCTGCCAGTCCACTGCAGCTACTTACGCACGGGAGTTGAAGGAGGCCTGCAACACGAAGAGACGCCATCACCCGCTTCCACTGGCGCCAATTATAAAGGCTCTCAGGTGGTCTCGACAGGAATGATTGGCGTGGTGACGCAACAGGCCAGGAGCCAGATGACGACATCCGCTCTCAACTATTGTTATATTTGAAAAATAATTGTATTGAATTTCAAGTGGTCATTTCAGCTAAAATATAGTTTTTATGTATCTTTAAACGTTTGACTCCGACTCCATGGATTCAAAGCGGGTGTGTTTTCTTTTTTAAAAAAAATATTCCCTCGGTGGTTTGAACAATGCGCCGTCTTATGACGTCACGGTTACTTTTTAACACTTTATTGAACATCGAAAACGACTCTCAATCACTCGGGGCGGAGCTAACTGAACTGCGGCGGAAGTGTTAGGAACGACTATCTGACATCCATTCGGATAAAGAGACGGTTCTAGAGACACGCACGTTCATCACGCGCGTTCAGCGGCCCTGAAAATGCGGAGTTGCCGTTGGCTCTGAGTGTTCAGGTCACTGGTTCAAAAGTTGTGGTGAACAGACATCCTTCACTTTGAAATGAGTGGGATGAGTGCAGTACTACGTTTCCCCAGCAGACGGCGTGATTTGATGTGAAAGTTCTGAAAAAGCGTGATACGTCACAAGACGACGCATCATCACCAAATGATCGAACTGCACTATCACAGCTAACTTTGGACAAGAGGCAAGGTCCACTCTGGATTGTTCACCATCCAATCGCATGACACAAAGACAAGCAACCACTCACACTCAGGATACTTCAGGCTCTTCAATTAACCTAACCGATATGTATTTTTGAAACATGAGAAATCCAGATTACAAGTACAGCAAGCACATGCAAACACCATGCAAGAAGGACAAAGCAGAGTTGAAACTCAAACCTCAGAACTGCCTGCTAAATATTTATAATACGGTTTGAGCTTTACATCATTTTACCCATGATTGATACAAGGCTTGAAGATCTGAAAAAACAGTCCATCGGTGGAAGACGGCTCCTCAAAAGACGTATACTGTACAATGAACTGGATGGCTAGAATTATCACGAGTCGACATTTCCCTCATTAAAATTAATGTAATTCTGTGTACTGTACACTTAATGACTAACCAATCAATTATAATAAATGAAATGTAAATGAATTAAGTTGAACTGAACATTTAAATGGTTCAAAAATGAATTTAAAATACACACACGCACAGGTTGGTTCAGTAAAAATGTTTACTGGCACATTATCATTGCAAATGTCATGAGCTGCTGGAGCAGGTTTCACCCATTACATTGTCTTGCAAATGAGAGGCTGGTACTGTTCAGTAGGACAGTTTCCTGCCTTTAGAAATACTTTTTGAAACGGCTCTCTGAGCTTGAACTAATTGCGATTAGCAAAACGGAAGGGAGAAAAAAAAATCAATCAAGTCATGTTACATCAGTATCCGGTGTGACATTCGTGACTGATGATCACATTCAAATCCACAGGAAAGCAAGATAAAGCTGCAAGTCAAATTCTACAAAAGCCGCGCACCTCCCAAACTACCTATGCTGCATTCTCCATCAATGTGTGTATTATGTTTTTTTGGCCATTTACACAATAGTGAGAAGGCACTTGTTGTGCCAGCGTATGTTCAACAGGAGAGGTCCACTAGTTCAGCCGTTAAAGCATTTCAAGCGTGGCCAGCAGCGAGGTTCTGTGTATGGCTTCAACACCCTCCTCCCACCGACACGCCGCAAGCATCCCCAAAAAGTTCAGTACCGCCCCCTTATGGCCGCGGCAGGAAATGAAGGCAAATCCACAGTGGAGTCCCATCAGTGCAGTAGTTCTGATGTCCAGGTGGTGGCCCACTCTGAAGCGGGACACTAGGCTAGAGGCTGTGACGGCTGCGCCTGAGCCGGTAAAACGAGGTGCTGCAGTTGTCAACTGGAGATTCAAAGATATTTGATCACAGCAGGGGTGGTGAAACATTTTCCGACCAGGGGCGCTTTCATTTCAATTAAGGCTTTTAGGAAAAATACATCGCAATCAGGGACGATTTTGCATTATTGTATGTATATTATTTTTGGATCTATGTGAGGGGGATTTACAGTTGACCCCCACTATTTGCAAGGGGCAAAAATCCACACATAATTATATGCACATTGATATGCATTGTGTGTGTGTGTGGGGGGGGGTGTTTTTAACAACCCCCCCAAAACTGTTCACGGATAAACGTTCAATGTTTTCCACGAAAAATGAAGGGAGTGGATGTTGCATAGGGGAAATAAATTACAAAAAAAGGGAAAATAAAAAAACTCGCAAATATGCAAATCCGAGAGTCGAATCAAGGGCATGTGGGTGGTCGACTAATTTGTTTTCGAATTGCATGGCCCAAGGCCTGAAGGTTCCCACCACCCCCTGGATTAAGTCTTCATCTGCAGTAAGGCGCCTGATGCACCCACTTAAAAAAAAAATTAAACAACAAACAAATTCTTACTGCCATTCAAACATCTCACAATCACACCATCACTCACAAAAAGGATGATAGTAACTTAAAAGGTCATGAGGATGCCCAGTGATTGTTTGTTTTCTGGTCAATTACCTGTCTGGCTTCCATTATTGTTTAATATGTCAAAAACTATTCTGCTGTAGCGTGATCAGAGGTGTCCGGTGGAAAAGTGCAGTAGCTCTGAAGTACAAAACACAACAGCAAACAAAACTCAGAAACAAATACCGAAGAGAACAGCAAATGCAAAAAAACTAGTTGTTGTTTTTTTTAATTTACTGTTGTTTAGCTTTCTGTTGTTTTTTTTTATTTGCTGTAGTGTTTAGTATTTTTGTTCAGAATTTATATATATATATATATATATATATATATATATATAAATTCTGAACAAAAATACTAAACACTACAGCAAATAAAAAAAAACAACAGAAAGCTAAACAACAGTAAATTAAAAAAAACAACAACTAGACAAAACAACAAAAAACAAACCAGCAAATCAAAACAACACACACAATTGATCAGACCTCTCACTTTTTGGACAAGAGGGACAGCAGTCAATCATGCTGTCCCACCCACCCATTCAATCCAGCAAAGTCTGATCTTCTTCATATACCGACCACTTTTGGTAGGTTGAAGTCATGTTTTTTTTCCTTCAATTTTTGTTTTCATTTGCAGGTGTGATTTGCTGTTGTTTTTAGTTTTTTTTATTGCTGTTCTGTTCAGTTTTTTGTTTGTGTAATTTGCTGATGCGTTTCACTTTGTTTTATTCTTTGATTTGCTGTTCTGTTGAAGATGTTTTTGTCGTTTCATTTTGTGTTTATTTGCTGTTGTGTTCGATTTTTTTTGTTGATCTATTTTCATTTTGCTGTTGTGTTAAGCTTTTTGTTCCGCTACTTTTTTGTTTTTTCATTTGCTGTTGTGTTTATTTTTTGTTGTTTTGCACACTATAGAAATTAAAAGAAAATTAAAAAAAGAAAGCAGTTGAAGACAATTTAATATATATTTTGTAAAACGTATGCTTAACATGACATTTTTCAATTTTTCTTTAGAAATATACGAACAACGGGGAAAACAAAACACAAAGAATGACATCGAAACAAAAATGAACAAATTGATTTTCCTTTAGCAAAAAACAAATTTTAGCCAGCATGTTCTCCAAAATGAATATGAACACAATTTCATATAAAATCTGGCTAGAACCTGACGTGACTAAATTATACATCTGCCGAAATGAGGCTCTTCTACACAGAGATCCTGCAAAAATATCTGCATCAGAGCCCTTACAGCAGATCTTACTTTGATCTGCATTTACCTTTTATACAGAACCCAGTGAAGCAGGCCATTGCCTGCAACAGCTCCTGTGTCTGGTGCGATGATCAAGAAAACTTGTCAGTCGGCGATAATTGCTTTCAGCACAACTGCAGGTTTTTTCCCGACAGAAACAAACGTATGTGGTGTCACACCCATGTTATGGCTCTGATGCGACGCAAGGAAGAAAATTGCTGGGTAGACCGCGATTCCATGCCGGTGTTGTTTATACAGAATATCAATGTGGGAGAAGGGACCTGGTAAAACACAGATGTAAAAGGCGTCATTGATTAGTACGCCTGGCAGTGAAGATGACTGGACTGATGGTGGTGAATTGCTGGGGTCAAGTTGCCTCTCCTAACGTACTGGGCGAGTGGCCTTGAACTTGGCCATAGTGACTGTGAGTGTGACACACAGCTACGTTTTCTTTTTAAGCCATATAATTTAAGAGCCATGCAAGTTACTTTTTCATAAATAACAGGTTTGTTCCCTTTAGAAGGCCATCACTGTGTAGTGTCCTTGCTTGCCCGACTTTCCAGCATCCATGAAAACGGACAAAATGGATGGATGTGAAACAAAAACTGTTCTCTCACACGCTCATTCGGAAGTGACACATGCAATGCGTACACAAAAAATGGCAACCATATCCTCTCCTCTCTTTGTGTCTGTCTCTCTTTCTCTCTCTCACACGCGCACACGCACGATTTGTAACAGCAAGTTCCAGAAAGAGCACTTATTTAAAAAAAAAAAAAAAAAAAAAGAAATAGCAGAAATATGGCTTCATATTTAAAACTGTAACAATCGAGGAAGTTAAAATTGGTCAATTATCACCCAATCTTTTCCATCATTCTAATTTTTGATTAAAAAAAAAACTGTATGCATAACATGTGTATGCAAGATGCAGTCTAAGCGTCAGGGCTGTGTGTCTACGGCTGGTATCGAGCTGGTACTTGCTGGCAGAACCTGGTTTCAAAGTGTGCCCAGTGTACTGCAGCCGGGGTGCCCCTGAGAGGATGTACGGAGATGAAGTTGTCCGCCTGTTCTCGTAAAACCCCGCTGAGGTCCATCACTCGCAAAATTGCAAATTCACAGCCTGCATGTTCATTGTGTACATGATTCTCTGCTGGTCTGTGTGTGTGTGTGTGTGTGTGTGTGTGTGTGCATGTTGGATGAGCGGGGAAAGGGGCGTTGGGTAAAAGAGCAGATGAAAATGTGTCTTGTGCCAGTTAGTGTGTGTGCATGTGTCATTCGATTTGTCCTCAGCAGTGCAAGTGCAAATGTGAGATTTGGGTTGTGTGTTAGCATGCCTGCTGCCTGCTTGGTCAAAGGTCTGAGCCACTATTCTCGTATGCTGGCAGAGTAGGAGAACTGAGGGAAGTGTGTACGCTGATCTGAGTCCTCGGGGTCTAAACTGTCATCTGGAAAGACAAAAAAAAAAAAAAAGATATGACAAAGCCAAACAAACAGGAAACTAGATCAGCCACATCGGTGTTGAAAGGTTATTTTGCTGAGTCATTTTGTGTATTGAAATGACAAATTTTGCGAGCAGTGGTGTGACCGAACAGATAGACTATGCGAGGGATACTTACACTTGTCTGGTGGAGTTATTGTGATGGTTTGTGCTGTGAACTCGTCGTCAAAGTATCTCGTGTCCGTCTCCGAGGTGACCTGGGGTTTGAAAGGTGGGACGAGCTGTGCAGAAGAAACAAGCAAAGCAGTGTTGACATTCAGAGTATGTTTGACTGAAAAGGTAAAAAAAAATACATGCCAGTCCTTTCCTAGTGCATCACCTTCTTCTCTAAGACATCCTGCCAGTTGATGGAGGTGAAGAACTTGTGAGTCATCACTTCTTTGGCATCGTCAGGTCCGCCTCCGAGCCTGAAAACAACGCACACACAAAAACAAGTGTGACCTCACGGCTCGTGTAAACACCGCACTAAAAATGCGTTGTTCCCCGACGGGCAATTCAAGACAAATTAATTCGTACCTTCCTCGCCTGCAGGCAAAGGGCCGTGACACTATTTTAGTGAGATAAACACGCTGAACCTCCTCCAAAACAACAATAAATGGCATCCTTGTTCATCGCCTCGAAACAAATCAAGGAACAGAGCTTAAATAATCCGGTTTACTGCGTATGTGCTGGCTGAAGGCAAGATGTAAAACGAATTAAGTTCTATTGACGAGCTGCAGTGCACCAAATGGGAACAGATGGATCGTCATCTGGCGCCCGTGTTGCCAAATTTTTAATTTACCTAGTCCTTAAAATAACATTTTAGGCTTTTCAAATCGCTGGTTTTTCTGTGTGGAGTTTATATTGTCTCTCTGTGCTAATGTGAATTTTGTCCAGCTAATTCCCCCCAATTCTAAAAACACGGACATTAGGTTCACTGAAAACACTAAATTGTCCATAGGGGCGACTAGAAGTGTGGGGTGACTGGCGGCCAGTCCAGGGTAGACCCAGACTGTCGCCCAAATTCAGGTAGGATGGGCTACAACAACGCGGCAACTCTAAGGAGCAAAAGTGGGGTAGGAAACGGATGAACAAACCTCTGCTTGGGATCCTTTTTGAGCAGGCCTGCCAGCAGCGCCTTGGCTTCAGGTGCCAGGTTCTTGGGGAAGCGGATTTCCTCCATGAGGATGAGTTCAAAGAGTCGCTCGTGGTCCTGGTTGTAGAAGGGCAAGCGGCCACACATCATCTCGTACATGACCACGCCCAGACCCCACCAGTCCACAGCGCGACCGTAGTCGTTGTCCTCAAGTACCTGTCAGAGTGAAAGCGAAGGGAGTGTCTCAAAAGCGTCACTGGATTCTGTGCTCAACTGTTCGCGTGATGTTTATTTTAAAAACAACATTTCGCTGTAAAAACTGTTCATCAAGATGAGCGTCGGGGTTACCTCAGGTGCCAGGTACTCAGGAGTCCCACAGAAGGTTTTCATGGTGGCGCCGTCTGTGATGCCTTCTTTGCACAGGCCGAAATCTGTTATCTTTATGTGGCCATCCTTATCCAACATGAGATTTTCCAGCTGAACAACGAAAGGCGTCAAGTTACTCTACAGCTAAATGACAAAAACGTGGACGGACGGCATCTGTAACAGTTAATGAAATGACAACGAATGCACTGAAGAGCACAGGCGATGATAATAATACCCTGAACAATAGCCCACTTGGCGAATTAAAATCTAAATATGAGTTTGTGTGTGTATTCATGTTACTAAACGTATTCTTGAACTAAATACTTAATAATTATGGTTATGCCACAATTACAAGCACGAAAAAGAAAAATTTGACAACAAAGGTGTGAGCACACAAAACTGTTCTTGTAAGCTGAGTCCAGGGGTTAAAGCACAAAAAACAAAAAACAAAAAAACTTTTGCTTAAAATGACTGCAGTCAATTCACCAAAATTTTGCTCACTTCCTTATCAATGTGTTAAATATACGGCAGCGCGACACCTTACCTTTAAATCCCTGTAAACTACATTGCATGAGTGTAGATACTCCAGTGCCGATACTATTTCTGCACCATAGAATCGGGCCCTGTCTTCTGTGAAGACTCTGTCCCGGGATAAGTGAAAGAAGAGCTGCAAATGAACCAAGACACATGACACTGGATTTAAAGAAGACTCCGAATTAGGTCAGTGACTTCTTTTGGTACACTGACGAGTAATCTTTCATAAACACGATTGTGAGTGAGAAAAAGAGAATAACTTACTTCTCCCCCATTTGCATACTCCATCACAAAGCATAGACGATCGTTTGTTTGAAAAGCATATTTTAGTGTCTGTGTGAAAAGAGGAAAACACTGGCGTTACACCGTCATTGAGGTAACAAACGACAGTTGGATTTTAGGAGACCAAATCTGGGGGTTTGGTGACTTACTGTGAGAAAGGGATGCCGCGTGTTTTGCAGGACTCTGCTCTCTGTTACCGTGTGCGCTACCTCATCCTGAAGCAAAGATACATTTTGTACATGTCACATGAGTAAGCACACGTGCAAACTAATCAGTAATATGCTGAATGTCAATCAAAATAAACAGCATAAACCGATTTTTGAGCATTGCCATGAATGAGCTGCAATGTACATCACTGGACCCTCATCTTCTACACAGTTTTTTTGGAATGCATTTTAAATGAATCACATACAAAGTGTTGTTTTGCATCACACGCGGCAGCTTTTTCTCGAAACTTCGGCTTTACGAATGCCACGTCTCTTGAACAGGCAGGTCGTGTTGTGGTAAAGTTCCAGGGTCTGCACGATTAATTGAATCCACTTGAGGGTGTTAATAAGCTGCCCAAATAAGCAAGTGACAAGCTTGAGTTATGGTGTGTGGGGGGGGGGAGTACAGCAAACATTGGAGGTGAGGGGCTCATGGTGAGAAGCTAGTGCCTCAAAAGGGATCGGCATCTCTTCATTCAGATTAAGGACAAGTGACGTTAAAACAAGATGAAAGCATATTCATTTTCATGACTATTTCCCTGCCAGGAGTCACTTGCATGTTTGGCACAGTTTTTCCACCCATTCTAATCCCCTTTTAATACGGCGTGCCACATAGTCGTGAAAATACAGCACCTAAGCAGCAAAGTGATCATTTAAGACACTAAAGCACATTCTGAACCCTGTGCAATCATTCTTTAGAAGACATTTGAAGAATACCAACTTTTGCAATGATGACTTCTTTACGGAGGATTTTCATGGCGTAGTACATGCCCGTAGCCTTCTCCTTCACCAGGATCACTTTGCCAAACGTCCCTTTGCCCAGGAGCTTAAGGTAGTCGAAATCACTCATGGTCTGCTGAGGCGATGACAGAGAAGCCACAATGACCAAACACCCAAGCAACAAATAATCCCTCGGCGTGAATCAACAGGCTTGAAAGCACGAGAGCTCGATATGACGTGAGCTGACCACTTTTGAGCGAGATTTGGACACGGCGATCTCCATCTCCATTGTGCCACTGCTGTCACTCGCCGAGCCAAATTTGATCTCCATGGGCTCCTCGTCCTGCTGCTGGCTCTTCAAGCTGTTTGCCACTGCCTGGATCGATCGCATCCATTCTTCCCTGAAACAACAGTGGACATAAACGCATTTGAATGACAAAGTTTCCTCAGGTTCAGATAAAAATGTCCCCATGATCAATGTATTAGTAAGTGGAGTGTGACATATATTTCATATATTTATTATTCAGACTTAGCAAAGGTTACATAAAAAAAAGTGCCCACTTGGTTGTAGTTGGGCGTAATTTAGCCACAAATTCTGTTTTGAGCACAAATGTAATTATCGCAATCTGAAATGGATTTCCCTGCCTTTAAAATAGAATTGAGTCATCTCGGCCTGCTGTGTTCCATTCAAGAGCACGCGTTACTCCACTGTTGCAACTTGAGACTCGCGCAAGATAACGTTGTCAATGGTCAAATCGAGGTAGGATTGAAACACAAACATCTCCATTCAATTACAGTGGAACTTGGAACAGCCGAGCAAATGTCTTTAAAGCTCCTAAAATGTGAATTCTCACCAAAATGTTCACAAAACACACTGTATTTTGGTGTTTCGACAGTCAGAGATTATTGCCAGTAGCTGGGTGGGTGACACGCAGGGGCAGACGCATTGCACCTGTTAAGAGATGCTTAACACTCTTTTATTTTAGGCAGGTTTCTATTTCCTACTTTTGATCCCATTGTCTTGATGGGACTCTCGGTCTAAGCCAGCACTGACCAGATGTTTAAGACAAAAGAACGTTGACTTAGGTGGCTTTGTGACAAGAAGGAGCACTTAATGAAGTTATAGACTCCTACGTTTCCATGGCAACTTCTTGCAGTGCAGACTATTGGTTGCCATGTTTGTCTGGAATGACCAAAACATACGTGAAGTCGTCTATTGGTGTTTTACATAAATCCTTTTGTGTAAGAGATTTAAATGATCAATGATGTTAAGTTGACAAGCATTTGAAAGGTTTTATTCAAATGAATTAGGATTGTGTTTGAAGGGTCCCTTTTGAATTATGTTCTGGTCATTTGCTTTTTCTTCCGAAACGTAAATTAATGCGACGATTATAGACTTTTAATTCTGCTTATACGACAGTCAGTAGGCTCAGATGTAACTTTGCCTCGAAAAACAAAAAAAAACAACATAAGAAAGTGAACAATTGAAAATCACAAGGAAGTATTCAAACTTTAACTGGGGGGCATTTGAGTTGAAAACATACCTCTCTTCGTTGCTGTCTACGTGGAAGGTGCGCTCAATGACTGACGTCCACTGGAGGCAGCGGATAACAAACGTATTGGGCCTGGGTCGCTCTGTCTTCATCAGCTGACATTCTACAAAGCACAGAGCCACCACATAAAAAGACGAAAGGTTGTTGGGGACCAAAGAACGGAAAGACACACATCCAAAGCTCAACACAGCATCCACTTGCCAGGATGCGGAACCGACCTGCGACGGAAAAGTTGTTGAGAGGTGGCAGGCTGTGATCGCTGGACACTTCGGGCTTCTCTTTGTAGCCGATGAAGGACCCGTCACTCTTTAGGATGAAATAACGAGGTCTCCAGGTTTTAATGTACTCACCTAGTGACACAATAGCAGCGCCCAATTCATGTTTGTCTGACTCAAAAGTATTTCTGGATTCAGTATTAGAACAAATGTACACTCGAATCGGTGAAGACCGAATCACGTGTCGCTCATCAGCGAGCGGCCCCCCTCACGTTTCTGGGCAAGCTTGGCAGAAATTCACACGAATTTGCGTATACACAGTAGCATTAATGATACAGTACCTCTCTTGTGGAGCCATCCCTCTCTCACAACGCCGACTTCATTCATGCTGGGGCAGAAGACTGTCTGGGTTGGGAGGGGGCGGCAGACAGCTGGTGCAAACTGTTCAAACTGCTCGAGATGGTGACGACGACTCAGATTCGACACTCGTCTAAAATGCGTGGAAAAGGAAAAGGAGAGAGGAAAAATACAAGGTCAGGAATGCAGTAAGTCACTGTCATAATTTCTGACAGCAAAGTTCATATACGTGTCTGAGAAGACAATGGCTCCAACACCTAACATGAGGGACACGTGGATTTTAATTGATTGAATTTACAACTGTGAGTCGATGTACAGTATTAGGGCCACACTGAAAAGAAACAAAAATATCATGAGAATTAAGTCACAGAATTACGAAAAATGTAAAATATGAGAAAAAAAAAACCTTGCAATCTTCAACAATAAATTCGCAATATTTCGAGAAGCTCGACATTTTAGTTTTACCTTTTCAGTTTTTAACTTTTACGTTCATGATGTGCCTTTGCTCTTGTAAGATTACATCTTTACTCTTTAATGCAAATTTCTCTCCAGGCCTATTACAGTACACCATGGCATTTGGCATTGTCAGTTTCCTCAAAAATCTCTACTTTCAATCATCTGAATGACTGAGAAATCATACACAGTTTTCTTGCGATATTGCAAGTTAGAGTGACAGAAAATACAACTTCCTCAAAAATCTCTACTTTCAATCATCTGAATGACTCAGAAATCATACATAATTTTCTTGCGATATTGCAAGTTATGTGATAGAAAATACAACTATTCTCATGTCATATATTTCTCATACTCTTGTCAACCATATGCACTGTCCTCTTAAGTCGAACACTTCGTCATTCGAGTTTAGTGTCTGTATGGCATCAGCTAGCAATGCTACAATGCCAGCTCAATGATGTTCCAGAGCCAATACAAAAAGTACAAACTGCTCAATGGCCACAACTGTGACATATAATGCGCTACGAAACGATAACATCAGGTACCGCCGATCAACACGAAACAGTAACAGAGGTACACACTAAATGTGTGCGGCTAATTCTATGGGTCGGGCTGCGGTAAAACGAGTTAACGTTCGGCCGGGGAAGGCGTATGTGAACACATAAAGCAAATCTGATTGCCAGCACAAAGGACACTTTCTGTGAATTGCGCCGGAAGGCTCTCCACAACTACTGTACTGCAATCATGTCTTTACCATGGCTCGTTCCACCACCAGCCCACAACACAGAAAAGTGCTGAAGTGTGCACGTCATCTACTTCCTATCTGACCATCTGACATTTATGACAACACGATGGGAAAGTGCTCACCAGTGATACCTCATCAACATTTTTTTCCTTCGTGTCAAGTTATAAATAGTAGATACGAATATTATTAAAGCAGTGCCAGGAAGAGATCAAATGTAATGTCACTGGCGTCCGATTAGTGTCTGCCACAATGATCATAGTGTATTTCCCACTCAATTAGGTCAAAGGTAAAATGTAGGTTAGGGCTGAGCTGGGTGTTTAATCAATGTCATTGATTAATTCGAGTTTGACATTTTTTAAAAACAGAATTTTTTTTTCCCGTTGCTCTCGTTCAAAGCGCGTTCCCATTGAGAGCAACAACATGGCTAAGGGCAGAATGGAGCTACTGTAATTTAAAAACGCACAGTCAGTCAGTGTTGCCAATTTAGTACATTTATTCCTGCTAAGAAACGGACGGCAGTTTTCACATTGTTTTCCGTATGACATGAAAGAAGTTCGCCTGACAAGGTGCACAAATATGTACTACTTGATTTATCAACATGCTGGAAACTTCTGACCCTTTGACCCAAGTATGTCAAGTCATCTTTATTCATATTTATGTGCTTCCAAGCCGCAAATATGACATACATACATCCAAGACAGAGGCTGCCTTGCCTTAACTGTCTAACTGCAGGACTGCAGCTATCAAATATTTTAAGAATTCAGTGTTCTACAGATTGCTGCACCGATTAATCAACTGAATAAAAATGTTTTTTGCCTGAGGGATAGACCAGGTTTTGATTTAACTTCAAGACATGGTGCCGAGCCCGGGAGCTCCTTTTTGAAGTTCCTGTTAGAAATGAAAAACAAAGATGTCTTTTGCCTAAGATAAAAAGAAAAAAACAAACATGCTGTAAATCTGAAAATCTGTTTAATAAACATACTTCAAGACATTCAAACCCCGGGAGCTCCTTTTTGAAGTTCCTGTTAGAAATGGAAAACAAAGATGTCTTTTGCCTAAGATAAAAAGTAGAAAAAAAAAACAAACACGCTGTAAATCTGAAAAGCTATTTAATAAACATACTTCAAGACATTCAAACAGTGTTGGAGTTTGTATTATTCAAAATTTTGACAAATCTTTTTTTTCAACTATTTTCTTTTATTTTTTTTTTGTGCAATGAATCAATATGTGAATATTGGCTCCAAATATCAGTCATCTGCCTCCATCATTACAAATTGTGATCTGTCCTGGGGGGGGGCCCAAACGTATTGGTCGCTCCCTATTTTGAATTTACATTAAACAGAATGTGCACGTGAGACGTATTTTTGTCCACTTACTGCCTCCATCATTACAAATTGTGATCTGTCCTGGGTGGGGGGGAACCCCAAACGTATTGGTCGCTCCCTATTTTGAATTTACCGGTACATTAAACAGAATGTGCACGTGAGATGTATTTTTGTCCACTTTGTGTTGTCATCGTCACTTTCTACTGTAGTATCTGCAACTTTGGGTGTGCACGGCTTTAAAATGCCGGGCGCCGGCAAATGAGAATGTAGAGTTGGCTGGCCATTAAATTGTCCAAATGTGAGCAGTTCTCCTGAATTTATTTATCATGGAGGACTTGGAGCTGTTTGTTCAATGTTTCTTTTTTTTTAAAGGAAATTCCAAAGATTGTTAAATTTAAGAACATGGTTCATGTCCATTTTTATAAAAATGAGCGGTGTGGATGAATAAGACCATTTATATTACCGGTAAAGATCATGGAGGACTTGGAGCTGTTTGTTCAATGTTTCATTTTTTTTTTTTAAGGAAATTCCAAAGATTGTTAAATTTGAGAACATGGTTTATGTACATTTTTATAAAATGAGCGTTGTGGATGAATAAGACCATTTATATAAACGGTAAAACAAAAATATGTATTTCTCATATTTCTCTGAAAGTTCATCAAAGTTCATTTTTGAGGCTTAAAAACTAAGCAAATGCCATTTTTGGGGCGTGTACTAAAGAACAAAACTTTCGTTTCGAATAGCGTCATTGTGGGAGATTTTATTATAAGGCAATTTCACTCAGCTCTAATGTGGTCAAATACTACGTGTTTTTACGTTATTAAACATATGGAGCACATCAAAAACTTTTGCCGTCTTCGTGACAAAACAAGATTTGACGAAAAGCAGCAGTTATAATACAGTAATCGGTCATTCTGGAAACCGTCCGAAGGGTACGGAGTGTACTTCTACGACTACGCGAGTCAGTGGTGCTGTAATGAACTCGGTGAAAAAGCACGCCGCATGATAACAGTCCCATAACACGTCCTCATCCGTTTAGCGTGGATGCTACGAGCTAAGCTAGCACGGGTCAGCGAACAGTGTCGCTCGGCGTCCAGAAAGCGGATAATTGCTCCCCATGGTGAAACTATTTTCCCCACCAGAGCAGGCCTGGTCGTTCACCACACATTTTCGGGGGACGGCGAGCGTGACATTTACTCACAAACAAAGCAGCTAACCATCGAGCGAGCAGCTAGTTAGCACAAGAGCTAGTCACCTCACTCGTCCCAGCGTTCTATTATTACTACCAAGCACGCTGTTTTGGGGGCGAGAGAGAGAGAGAGAGAGAGAGAGAGAGAGAGAGAGAGAGAGAGAGCGTAAGTCCTCCGGACCGCGACACGATGGACTGGAGAGCGTCGAAAGACAGCTATAAATAATGTTCAACTCGTGGACATATTAAACCGCCCGTCTCTGTTGGTTTAGTGAGGTGAGCGTGTCTGCTGCTCACAGCTCCTCTGCGAGAAAGTCCTCCGCTCCGTGACGCGGCCCCCTCCTTGTCGAGCAGGCAGGCAAATAGGCAACACAGGAGCCGCGCAGGCACTCCAGGCGGACGTGACGTACATAGACCATGACCAAGTGAGCACCTGGATGAACCAAGTACAGCTGTACTCATGTGACATTCACAAGTCAGCGGGCCATTTTAAGGCTTCAGGCCGGTTGTTTGAAATAAATAATATTCAATTCTCTTTGTTTTGTGTCAGGTTTGACTGTAAACTGAAGATGGGAGTGGCAAACAGCTTGAAGGAGCGTGAACATATCACTGGGCACTCACTGTACACACATCCCTCTACTGTACGATATTTCTGCAATATTTCAGTGTACTTCCTTTGCATATTGATGAAGCCATCTTTAGGGCAGTTCTGAATGTCTACTAACTTTCCTTAAGGCAGTTTTTTATTATAATTATGCTTATTTTGATTGCTGCCAAATGAAAAGCAGGTTCCTCCATATTTCCTTTGTTCAAAATAAATTTGTTTTTGAACATTTTATAGTCCATCTCTTGTTTATACCCTGGTGAAAAAACAGGCACATCACAAAGTGAAAGGGACGGATAGATAGAAGCTTTATTAAAAATGTATCAAAAATATTTATTGTCAGTATGTTATTTAAAAAGAAAACATAACTGGACACCGTGAATCAGGTCCATTACATCCATGCATATGGCAACCTGTTTTGGCAATTATTTTAGATCCTACTACCGGCAATACACTCCTACTTTCTCCTCACTAAGTAAGACAAGCGCAATCTCAAACAACTTTATTCTGTTGTCTTTGCAGTTTCCGCTGAAGATAGCGAGCGCGTGCCTCACTGACGCTATTTTCATTGTTTCGCTTCTCCACTTTCTTCAAGGCATCCTCAGCAGAAATCTCTGAAAGAAAATAGATCACACCAACACTCAACATGTGCAAGAAAGTGGCCATTCCCTAAAATACAGTCATCTTAAAAAAATGATCCTAAAGACCTGATTGTCTTTTGGCAGCCTCCCTCGTCTCCCACTTGGTCACCTCCTCATCGGTGACTTCTTCTCGCGCCACGCTGCTTAGTTCATAAACGTCCACCTCGTGCAATTTGGGCAGAAGATCTTTCACCCACTCATATCGGATGGGACATACTGTCCTGACGTACACCCGTGATGTCACCAACACGTCGTGAAAGAGAATCCAATCCAGCTCCATCTCCTTGTCGAACAACTGAGAACCAAAAGGACAGAGAAGGGATCATTTACCGTAGATAAAGGGAGGCTGAATAGAGATGGTGGTACGAAAGAGAATTTTAATAATCTTACCGATGATGATGGATGAATGTGAACCATAGACCCATGACCATCCATTGTGCAAAATACCTTTCCAACAGATCTAGGCAAGGTCATGGAAAAAAGTCTCAATTGCAGTATACTGTGTACTGCTCAACATAATTTAATACAACACACTCCTTTGCACGCCGCTTAATCCAAGCAACAGAACATTCCATTTATTAGCCAGTTCCTCAGTGAGCAACAGGGATATTTGAATTTCCACCATCTCAATTTCCGCCCCCATCAATTCACATATTGACATGTAAATTACAGCGAGTGTTCCGTCTCACTTCCAAGCAATTTAGCTTTAAGTAACGTCTTCTATATGACTGACACTTGACACATTTAAGCTTTGGCAATAGAGAAAAAAAGACAATGTCATTCAAGCCATTTACACTTTGCCTTGACAAGGTTTGTTTACTTGTGTAGTGTGATGACAAGGGGAAAAGTCAATAATGTCCTGGTATTAGAATTAATATGGTTACATTACGTTTTTTTTACAGTGTCCAAAGTTTGGGGCTTTGGAATAAATGATTAAAAAATATAATTGACCTCAATGGGAAATTTTATAAATCTTTATATTACCTTCTGGCAACATTGGTGAAGTATCCTGTGCACAGACACCGTCTAAAGAGTTCGTTCTTATTGCCATCGAATTTCTCCACTGGGAAATCTCTCCTCTGGAATAATAAACACAAGATTAATATAAGGTAACAAGCAGCACGAGTTACCATAGCTACCGATAATAAGTGCGGGACAGCACTTGTTGCAAACGGAGGAGAATGTCACGGAGCTGAGTCTCGACACTAAAGGCAGACTTGAGCGCCCTCCAGTGGATCCAATTATCCTTGCACCACGCTGACGGTCTTTCACTGCGTAAAACAAGAGAGAGTAAGAAAAATAGACCTAGACGGCTAAAACAAAGGATGTATGACCAGTACCTGGATTTACACTGCTGAAACACACTCAGAAGTGTACCGAAGTCATTTACGCCGCCGCTATTGGCCGCCAGTGCTCTGTGACTCTGATCTGCCTCTTTCTGCTTGTCAGGGTGGCCTGGATGAGAGATGAAGTAGGCACATTCAAGTCAAAGCTCAAAAGCGTTTTCCGTGGGGAAAAACAAGGGGTTGGCTCCTGCTGAAATAAGTTGAGGAGCTTCATTTGGATAAAAATACAAATTGGCCGGCTTATCAGCAAATAAAGTACAATCTAAACCTTTTGGATGGGGGATCACTTACATGCAGAATTTTGCTTTTCACTACAAGGCTCTGCCCCTGTCTTCCGTGAATAGTGGAAATTCGCCCCCCTTTAGTATTTTTAAAGCACTCATTTTTATGGTTGGGTTTCATCATAATGTTGGCATGTGATGCCGAGTAACAATACCAGGCCGGATGAAGATGTTCTCGACAGACAACATGGCGGCCACGGAGAGAAGCAGATCCTGGCAGCCGTGCGAGGCAGCTTTGAGCAGGGCCCTGGTGAGGCCGGGCTGCAGGGGGAACTCCACCATTAGCTCCCCCAGGCGAGTCACTCGACCTCTCCTGGCAGACAACATGCCCCTTGTGACTGCTAGCACTGTTGTGTTAACAATACCCAAAAAGGCAAAGAGCGCACCACCAAACCTGTCGATAGCATCAAACTGGTAGAGCTGTTTCAGTGCCTCCAGGATAAACCTCTCTTCTGGAGGGTCCAGATAGGGAAACCTTGGAAAGAAAAGACCACTGCTAAACAATGTAACCTGTGACATGTTAGCAAATGGTGAGACCGCAGTGATGGTGTTAAATAAATAAATACAGGATTTCCACAATTTGTTTTGAAATTAGTATAACGTAGAAATGCACATTAGGTGTACCTAATGACATCATGTACACCCAGGCACTTGAGAGTGAGGACCACTGCAGTCAAACTCGTCCTCTGGATCTCTGGAATTGTATATTCGGGCATGCATTCCTCCCAGAATTCCTTGGTGTAGATGCGGAAACACTTCCCCGCTGAGGTTCTTCCAGCCCGGCCTGCTCGCTGCAGAGCTTCACTCCTAACGGCAGGAAATCACCAAGTCAATTAATCTGCTGTTGCCGGCAAAAGAAAAAGATAGGACTCACTTTGAAATGGGTACCACTTCTAAAATGTCCATGCCCACCCTGGAGTTATGGTTGAGTTGCTTCACAAAGCCGCTGTCTATGATGTACCTGAAAACACAACCCGGCAAATGAAATGGCATCTTACTTTGCTCGCGACAGTGACAGATGCATAAAAGCAACATGCTCACTTGATGCCATTGATGGTGAGAGATGTGGCAGCGATGTTGGTGGCCACCACACACTTCCTTATTCCCGGAGGAGGAGGCTGGAAGATCTGCCGCTGTTGCTCTGAGAGGAGGATTAAAATGAGAATAATACAGTATGAAAACGCTTAATCTGAAATAATTGAAACCTATCCTATTCTATCATGATATACAGGGCCAGTGCCAGAGGGCTACCACCCAAAAAGGCAAAATGTCGGACCATGAAAAAAATTGTAAAAATCAACTCCAAAGCAAAAAAAACACAGAAAATATGTCATTCAAGGTGCCACTGTATTTACACAAGAATATAATATATTCCATATCGTGAATGAAACAAAGTGCATGATGGCTGTTGCATGTATTTACCGGTTGGCATGGAACCATAGAGGGGTAAAATAAGTAGTCCATCCACTGTTTTGTCCTGTACATCATAGCGGTAGTCTATCGACTCCGCTTTCTCAAACAGCAAATCGCACGCCCGCTCGATCTCCAACTGACCTGTCAAACATGGATAGATCACCGCAGTTTGATGTCAACGAGCTTCTGATTCATACGTCAAGCGACGACTGGATCTGACCTGTTAAAAACACCAGAATGTCGCCAGCCTTCTCACTAGTGTGAACATCCAGAGCCAGAGAGACAACCTGCAGAGCAACAAAGAGTTTCATCAGTAATCCTGATCTTCAAAAAAAAAAAAAAAAAAGTTTTAAAAAGTTCAACAAAACTCAATCCAACAAGTGTTTCTATTTTAGCAACAGCTCCACAAGATTGGCAAAATACTAACATTTTGTTTCACTGAAAGTTCAGCGGTGTACCTCTTTCACATAACCCGTGCTCTGTAGGTCTTTAGGTCCCACGGCAGTGCCCAACGTACACGTGACAGGAAAAGTCCTTCCAGGGATAGCAAATACCGGGCAGTCACCTAGAAAGGCGGAAAGTTTGTCTGTTTCCATGGTGGCGGACATCACCACCACCTTTAGTGGGAAAGCTCGGCCCTTCATAGCTTCAGTCGGATTCGAAAATACTTTTTTCAGCAAACCCAGGAGGATATCCTGCAATGAAAAAGAAACTCTAGCTCAGCGTGTGCATCAATTAAAACCTCAAAACAGTCATAGATACAGCCAAGCTGAGTAGAATATGAAGGGGTATTCAGACCACAGGAACAACAACAAAATCAAATACTATGAGAATAATTAGTATTAAGTAATACAAAAAAGGGTCAAATGCCCATCTTTGGTATTTTCTTGAGAATAAAATCATGCAACAAGCAATACCAAAAAAGGCATAGTATAATATTACAAGCATAATTGTATGCTCGTGTTACAATGACGATTGCTATCGCTTAGTTAGAGTTCATAATAATAAAGCACATCACTGTGTTACGGTTTTATGACAATAATGAAATTCACTCCTTAAAATTATCACTTTATTTGCATTTTTTTTTTTTAATTTCAGTCTTGAATTTCATGGTGGTACTACATCTCCTTCATTGCTCGAGCGGATGTGGAAACTCACAGTGTTCAGGCTTCGTTCGTGGACCTCATCCAAGACTACAACACTGTAGTGAGAAAGTCCAGGGTCTGCCAGGACCTCTCTGAGCAAGCAGCCATCCGTCATGTATTTCAACTCCGTGTCCTGTATCAATCAAATGCGAACATCACATCGCTTTGCCTCGCAACACCGTGTGCAAGGTGTGGCTCGGTGATGCCCGCTCACCTGCGTCGTGCAGTCGTCAAAGCGCACCTGGTAGCCCACCTCTCTTCCCAGAGTGCACTGCATCTCATGGGCAACCCTTTGAGCCACCGTGATGGCAGCCACACGGCGGGGCTGGGTGATGCAAATTTTGCCATTTTTACAAAAACCTGCCGACGAAACATGACAATCATACACCACACAAACTAAACTGGTGTGCATATAAGAGACTTCAATACACAATGATTACACTCACAGTAACAGTAACAGCAAGTGGTTTACCTGCTTGGCACAAATACTGTGGAAGCTGCGTCGTTTTCCCGCTGCCAGTCTCACCGGTAACCACCAAGAAAGTGCTCTCCTTCACAGCCTGTACCAGTTTAGCTTTATGCTTGTAGATTGGCAACTGTAATGACTGGTTGTCTTTCCGGTATTTCGCCGTCGATTTGGACATAACTAGTCCGAAAGTTGTTCCAAGAAGTAATACAAAATTTAATAATAACAATAAAAAAAAACTATATCGGGAACTACTATAACCGGCCTAAATCATGATGGTATTCACAATGTATCCTGCAGTTCGTAAACGACACGCTCATACTTACTTCCGCAAATAATTCCTTTCTGTTTTCCTATTGGTCGAGCTGTAGACACGTGACCAACCCTCCCGCCCCCAACCGGAAACAGCCAGCTCACCGACCGGCTTCTGACGTCTCTCGACAACGGCAAATCGCATGGATACACAGACCGTGAATGGAAAAACATTATTTAATTTACATGATTACACATATAAAGTCTATATAGATCTCTTGATTTGTTTTGACAGAAATGTATTTATTCGAAATAACTTGATCTAACACAACGTGATATATACTGAGTTCGTGAAGACATGCCTTTATTTCCCGGCGAGGAAATTATTAAACAATAATAAAGATACCCCGCATCTCTCCTCCTCTCCAAAATATGAAATAGCACAAAAGCACAAGACAGTATAGGGCAGGCGGTGGATGGTTAGGAAGGATGGCCACGGGTGACAACAGTTGGCTCTTCAAAGCCGAGGGCGCAGAGATGAGGCAAGGGTTTGAGGGGGGGGGGGGGGGGGGGAGTTGTTGATTTCTGAGGGGCGGCCACTCCGACACATAACGTGACGACGTCTGACCGAACGTTCGCAGGATGGCCGCGAGTGGGTGTAAAGGACGACTTTTATCTTTTTTGGACTACAAAACGGAAAAATACATCGTGGCCAAAAATAAAAAAGTTGGGATTGTACAGACTCATCCAGTTATTTATCATCGGTTACATTATAGGGTAAGTGAGACACTTGTCTAGTTTTGTCTGGTATTGCATGTCTGTCTCATACGGGTGGGCCATAACGTTCTGATTCCTTATGGCTAAACCTGATGTGCAACTGGCGGCCCGCGGGCCGCATGTGGGCCGCCCTCACGCTCTGACAGTCCTCCGCTTAATTATAAACATGTTTTCTTATTTAGAGACAGATATCTGTGTGCGACTCTCCTTCATGGAGTTTGCATACGCCGGTTTTCTCCCACATTCCAAAAGGCATACATGTGATATAAATTGACGACTTTAAATTTCTGAAGGTGTGAATGCTTGCCTCTCGGTGCCCCTCTGATTGGCCAACGTGTACCCTGCCTCTCTCAGCCAGGATAGACTCCACCTCGCCTGCAACCATAATGAGGGCAAGCACAATACATCTGTATGGCTATCTTGTCCATCCACCCACGTAGCCATTTCAATGCCACTTATTCTGAACAGGGTCGCGGGGAGTTGCTGGAGTTTCAATTCAAATGCAATTACAGCATTTGAATTTTTCTCCCCGACCCCAGGTGGGTTTTCTTAAGCAAGAAGGGCTACCAGGAGAAAGACGAGGCCATCCAGAGCATAGTGATCACTAAACTAAAGGGGGTCTCAGTGACCAACACCACCGAGTCGGGTTTGCTGATCTGGGGGCCAGAAGACTATGTCATCCCACCGCAGGTGAAAACACATGCACACTCAGGCAGGAGGAATTAAGGTGACCATAAATAACAGTTTACCGACAGTTTAGGCCTGAAACGAACAGGGACGTCCTTGTTAAACATCCTAGTTTTGATGATCTAAATTGCTCTCTGCACGCAGGGTGAAGCTGTTCTTTTTGTTGTCACTAATTTCCTCGAGACCCCCAATCAGAAGCTGGGATACTGTGCTGAGGTATGAATAGTTCACTTTTTTTCCTTGACTTGGACAGAGGGGAAAAAAACTGTGGGGCAGGTAAGGAACACAATGAGGATAAGCGGTATAGAGAATCAATGGAATGTCTGTCTTTCCTGATTCTCGTGCCTCCATTGACTTCATTTAGCCAATGAAAGTCAACATAGCAGGAAGTCACCGTGTACTTTCTCCATAACTCTTTACAGCTCGCGCACGTGCCGAGCTGTTTCAAGAGTGTTGACTTTCAATCTGCTTTATTTGCTCTCTTGACGTCTGACCCTGTGGAAACTATTCTGGACGGCCTTGAGTGTGATGCTGCCATATACACTCGCTGGACACTCAAAGTCTGGTCCATGGGCCAAATAAGGCTTGCTTTGTTCCTTCATCCACCCAACAGAGCATTTGATAATTAAGAATACAGTACTTTTGTAGCATAATTTTAGTCCTTATAAAAAACAAAAAAAAACTTGCTCTTAATGTTGCTCACCCTCAGTCCCGTTGGTTTAATGTTGAGCTACATATTTGTAAAAGGTTCTTGGTATGCACACCCGCTGCCGTCACCCTGGCAGCAGCCAAGAAAAACAACCAACATGTACCAGCGTCACACAGTCACTGCTCTTGTGTACATTTGTGTCTGCTTACTTAGGTCTGTCCTTATAAATCAAATTGCTTTTACACAAAGTGGTGTGGCACATTTGCCAGGGTAAAGTCACGCCGGCGCTCCAAAGTGGAGTTTCTTTGAATTGTTTGAAAGTTTGGATCAAGAATCACATTTTGCAACCCAGACTTGAATTTATCATGTACAGTATTGCCTTAACATAGTACTGGACATAAACCAACCATAAAGAATGTGTGTTCAGCGTTCACATTTATAAAATGTTGTTTTTCTCTACATTAAAATGAGAACAAAAGCGACAAAGTCCAGTGAGTGAAGTGGAGGGCTTCTTATTAACTGAAGCGGTTTAATGAGTCTTTGTGTTTGTTGTGTTTGTTCCCCTAGAGCCCCAAGGTGCTGGATGGACTCTGTCAGGAAGACAAGGATTGCGAAGAGGACAAGCTTGTGGTGTCTGGCCATGGTAGGATATTCCTTAGTGTTATGGTTCAACACTCATTATTAGTCACCAAGCAAATTATTGTAGAAGTAGCATACAGTTCATTCAAGAAAATACACATCAACTCCAGTTATGAGAAGTTGTATGAAAAGTTATTTGAATTGTACAAACTCAGGGTTCGCTGGCCTTTGGATGTAGTAGTACCGTAGCAAGTTAAATTTTTCTGTTTTTTTTGGGTCAAAGGAATCATGAGTGGACGATGCTTACGCAAGGATGAAAACTCTACTGGAACCTGTGAAATTTTTGGCTGGTGTCCTGTTGAAAGAAAGTATCAACGGCAGTAAGGAGCCATGTTTTGTTGGTTTAGTTTCAGTTCGCTCCATTGGATGGAATCTCCTTCACGCATTCAAACGAAGATACATAAACCAAAAAATTGAGCACAGTTTGCATGGCGGTGCCGTTGTCTTTTGTAACAGGTCGCTGCTGTCGAGCGCCGAAAACTTCACCATCTACATCAAGAATTTCATCCAATTTCCCAAATTCAAATTTTCAAAGTAAGTTCATCAGTCGCAATGAACACAAAAGCATCCGAAAGTGAACAACACGGAACCACTGTGCTGTCTTTGTGCTCCTGAGGTCCAACATTCTGGAGACAACTGATGTGTCCTACCTGAAATGCAGATATGATGAAAAGCTCCATCCTTACTGCCCCATCTTTCGCCTGGGAGACATCACCGCGCGAGCAGGATACAGTTTCACTGACATGGCAACATTTGTTCGTGTTATCATTTTTCATAGGTCATATTATCAGGTCCGCCAATAAATCGAGGTATTGTTTTGCACAAGGGTGGCTCCATCGGCATCCAGATCCAGTGGGACTGTGACCTTGACAAGGGTTACTCCGAGTGTCACCCGCAGTACCAATTTAGCCGCCAGGACATCGCCGCCTCCAACAAGAACATTGCAATGGGATTCAACTTTAGGTTATTTGCAATTCAAGAGAAAGTGATCCTCGTGCATTTCAATGTTTGCTAATTGTATGATTCCTACTTTCAAACAGACACACTCGCTATTATAAAAACTCAGCAGGTGTGAGTTATCGATCGCTATACAAAGTCTATGGAATTCGATTTAACATCATGGTGAATGGGAGGGTAAGCAAAATGTGTTTGTGTCACACACATGCATGAAATGGCTATACATTATTTCTATGTACAGGTATGAACTTCCCCATGCTGAAGTTGTTGTCCTGTTTGGCAGTATGATATTCATTACAATCACAAAAAAAGTATAAAAAAAGACGCATCAAGTTAATTAAACAAATGAGGTTTGTTTGAAGTGTGTTTCACAAAGAAAATACAACTTTGTGTAACCTGTTAACAAAAGTCAATTCGTTTTTGTTTTTTAATGCTAAAACCGTCTCCCAAAAAGCAGTGACTTTTAAAAATTCAGATTAATATTTTCACGTTCCAAATACATCGTTTTGATATTAATATTTCTTGGCAAGCAAGTTTTTCTGCTCGTTACATTTTCGCATGTTTAACATTTTGTTTAATTTCAATTTTGAAGTAAAGTTTTGCAAGTTACTTGTTCAAAAAGGAAAATACTGTAACATGTCGTTCTTCTGAATAGACCTTACAAGTGAATAAATAACACCATACATTTGACAAATAGAACTAAACCAATCTGAATGTAATAAAAAGATGTAATTGTAAGAAAAAAGAGTGAATTAATATATTCTTCCGTTGTTCTTAGGCTGGAATGTTCAATATCGTCCCTACAGCCATCAGTGTCGGTTCAGGGTTAGCTTTAATGGGCGCGGTAAGTAGCAGCTATCTTTTATTGTCATTTTTTTTTCTCATTGATTTTTTTTAGATGCATGACACAATGCTAATTTTGATTGACCAGGGAGTGTTCTTGTGTGACATGATCCTACTCTACATCATGAAGAATGGCACCGCTTATCGCGAGAGAAAGTTTGAAGGCTCCCAGTACGTGCTGCTAATACTTTCATCACCACTTACGACCACTGGATGCTCGGCTAACATCTATTTGTTGTCCACAGGCAGTCAGCAGCCGAAGCCAGCCACGAGAAAACAAGTCTGGCATCTTAGTACTTTAATTTTGATTTTGTACCGTTTTGAATGTATAACAAACGTGAAACTTTTCTTATTAATATCAAGAAGTATTCATTATTTCTCCTAATAAAACAGTCAAACTTTTACAAATAAAACTGTCATGTAGTGAAATATTAGTATATGAGTCACACATAAAGTGGGTTACAGTACATACATACTTTTTATGTTAAGATGATCAGCCCTCCAGTGCCACCTGTTGGTCACAAACAGAATAACTTTTTCAGTGGACTGTATCGCGCTTGTGAAACTGAAATCTACACAACTGAGGAGAAGCAGGTGCAATTTATGCCAAGCAGGTATGGTATTGTATACCAAGATACCAACACAGGATTAACGTCAGTGTGAAGTAACAACCGCAATGTAATATGTCTATGTTTATTGAATTCAGAAGTTTACTCAGGACACTTCCATAGTAACCGTGTCACTCTCATGGTCAAGATCTATTCATGCCCATAAATGACCTCAGATGACATACTAACTGACCTCCGTGTTGATTTTAATATGCAGAGTGGATTTACACTTCACGTCAATGTGTCACATCATCCCATCCGTGTGTGTGTGTGTGTGTGGGGGGGGGGGGCATGCAAATATGGGTTACATGTGTTAATCTGTCCAGCTGCTTCTTCTCCTCATTAGATCAGCTCAGACTGGAGAGGTGAAGGGTGGATGGATTAATGGCCAGCTGTGGAGGAGGAAGCTTTGCTCCACATGTGAAAAGTGCTTCTTATTAGTACAAGTGGGGAGATGCCCTCAAGATGGACAAAAATACATCCACCATTTTCTGATTTCTGGAAATGTGTGATCATCTTAGTGAGGTCTACGTAAAAAACAAAACTGTAACAACACTCACAGAAGTGCACAGTCTTTGACTGGCATCATGTTTTTCCACCACATCTAGTCTTGGAACACACCATCTGCTCACACTGAAGACAGAATGCGCCAACACATATTTAAAATGAAAATAAATAAATAAATAAAATAAACACTGAAATATTTAATAATAAACAGTGTTTGTCGATGCGCTGTTATAATTTAGTTTAGTAATGAGTACAAAAAAAAAATTTAGTATTAACAAACAATTTGCACGTTATCTAATAAAATGTAATTCAATGTGAACATTGAGAAGAGATTAATCCATTTACAATGCATACCATATAATATACATACATAATAGTTACGAATATTGAAATCATTTAATTTATTAAGAACTGTTTTGCTTCTTTAGCTATGTGACATCTTATTTAATTTTAGTATTTAAATATTAATGACTAAACATATGCTGCCCACTTATTTTTTCACGTCTTTTCTGCAGAATGAGTACAATATCATCAAGTATGTATTGTGTTTAGAAATGAACGCCCCAAGTAATATTAAGTGTTTAAAAAAATTAACAAGTGGCTATTTGATGAAGAACGTATTGGTCCAAGAGTGACTTACTTGGATCCTAAGTGAATAGCCTTTTGGTGAAAAAGAGCACGAGAAAGAGCTTTTTTTTGGGGGGGGGGGCGTAAGCATAGAAAATTCAGTTGCATGAGCGGCGGGTGGGTGTGTTGTCAAATTGTGCCTCATCTGCTAGCTAGAGTAATGGTGGTCCAATCTTTTCTATTGGATTAGAGGAGGGATTTCACTGTGGTATTAATCTGACAAGACAGCAGCCGGCCACCCGGGCTGGACTCAGATCGAGTTGGGTTGCTGTGCCTGTGACGCTCGCTCTGCTGCTTCACTGTCATCAGGACGCAACATGAACATCTTTTGCTTCTCGTTGGTAAGAAACATATGACTGCATTTGTGTGTGTGTGTGTGTGTGTGTGTGTGTGTGTATGTGTGTGTGTGTGTGTGCGTGATATAGCTTTTGAGCGCAGCAAGTGTTGCATTAAAATTGGGCAATTATTCCCCAAATGTGATTGTACAATCGTAATAATAGACACATCCACCCTGGCCAATTTTTTGGTCAAAATGAATGTGGCTTCTTTACAGTACCTGCAAGAGAAGTGTCTTCGACTACACATAAATCTTGTGCAGTGGACCGTAAACGGCAACACATTGTTGTTCAATCAACAAATGGTCTTCTGACAGCAATATGTCTTTTAAAAGACCCACCCTGTGATAAGGCAACCCATACAGTCACACAATAGCAAAAGTATTTCATCTTGGTTGGGCTCAAACCACCATCCTCTCGGTTAAACGCCGAGCACGCTATTGTGCAGGTGTACCTAATGTTGCATGCGACCGGTCTCATCTGTGCACAGATGTTGGGGTTGTGCACCAGTAATGAGGATTACTCTCTAACCTCTGGCTAGATTGTCTTCTGTATTACTCCGCATCATGTGCACTATTATTATTAGAAACTGGCTTTAAAGAGACAGTGAATGGATACGAATTGAGACAGACAATGAGGATTGATAAACCTTTTCCGCTCGTATAACAATGAGTTATGTACAGAGCAGACACAGAGTGACGATGAAATATATTGAGGACTTTGTCATAAAACGGGATGGGGTGAAAACTGGTTATGTTCCTGGAAGGGATGTGAACGAGCCAAACATATTTTTAATCTACAGTCAAAGCTCTTCGGAGGCATTTCAATCCATTCCGACATTAGAGCTTTGGAGCAGCATTAGCATTCATATCCCGACATCCATACAGCATCCAATCCTCTGCAATATAATTTGACTCTTGGTGTTGTGTTACGATGACATCAGTCACCTTGCATCATCAAACACACTGTTCTGTGTCGCTGGTCGACCTACAACTTGTTCTAAATTTTCCTCCATTTACAGAGTACCAAACTAAGTATGGGAGAAGTTAACAACTGCATATTACAAATAAAGTGAAGTCAAACTACTCAACTTTTGAGGTCAACTCACACCTTCATAATAGCAAGTAAATAAGATGTTTGCAAGCATTTCCATCGGCGTTGCTGGGATTCATGTTCTGCAGTGTACAAGAAGTGTCCAGTCACATGCATTGGCGGACAATACAATACTTATTGGCATGTATTCTTTATCCTCTGCGAAGAATGACTAATGTTACTGTGGTTTCCTGAGACGTAGCGATTGTGAAACGCTTCTTCATTTGTGCCACTATCTCTGCATTATACAGCCCCGCTTGTGAGCACAATGTGGGGCTGCAGCGGAATCATGGCATTGCTACTCATTTCGGTGGTGAAAGATGCATAAAGATTTAAGTGTTTTGAGTTACGAGCAGGTAAAACAATCAACTTAATCGTCAAGCCACCACTGTAATTGTATGGCTCTTTGTAGACTGAGCTGCTATACCATTTCTTATGTCACAAGAAGTTGCATTTACAATTCTATGGCGATCATCATGCCTCCGTACAGCCACTGGTACACACATCACAAAAACACAGAAAGCCAAAGAACAAGTAGAACACACTCGTGAAGTTTACAATTTGGATGCTCAGTGAGCTGAGAGTCTGCAATTGATAAACGTTCAAGAAGTCGAAGCCTCATGATGACAATCGAATGGACTTTTGAGGTTCCACTGCGTATGCTCCACTCCATAAAATGACTACTTGATCATTCATAATGACTCCCTGCCTACCCCTCCTCCCACATGTGTAACCTCGAAAAGCTGCTTGATGCGCATGCTGTGAAACTCGGTTGGATTGAGCACACAGATGAGATTAAGTCCATTCATAAATTAGAGTGGAGTTGCGAACCCCCCCCCCCCAACAAACAAACAAAAACATTAAAATGGCTCCAAAGGCATGAACACCACTTTTTTAAAGATTTAGTTTTTGTATATGTTCACTTATCATGACGTTTGAGTCTGTTAGAAAATGGCTAAGTGTGTGTGTGTGTGTGTGTGTGTGTGTGTGTGTGTGTGTGCGTGCGTGCGTGTGTAAATTGCACCAGGAGGGTTCAATGGACAACCTGTATGAGGCTGTGCAGACCTCCAGCAACAGCCCACCTCAATCCATCCCGAGCCGCTCCTCCAGCCGGTCGTGCAGCCCGGCGCTCCTGCTAGACAATGACGCAAGGTGGAGGGGTTCCGGAAGGTCTACTTCTATGGTGAGAGATATTCAAGCGCCCGTGGAATTTGGAAAGTTCTGTATATAAGCCCACAAAGGTTTCGGCTTTGGTTTGCCAAAAAAGGGAAGTGAGCGAACCACCTCTTGGAAGAATTGATGAAGAAGCTTCCAATCATCAGGATGAATCATATAAAACAAAGTTGATTATGAAACAATCACATAGAAAACAGCCATGGTGGTTTACTCTTAACTCTTTAATGGCACTCTAAATTGTCCCTAAGTGTGAGTGTGAGCACGGATGGTTGTTCGTCTCTGTGTGCCCTGCGATTGGCTGGCAACCGGTTCAGGGTGTCCCCCCGCCTACTGCCCGAAGATGACTGGGATAGGCTCCTTGTGGTCTTTTTTTTATTGACGCTTTGAATGACTTCTCTCGCATACTGTGGAATCCTTGCAATTTGTGACATTCAGTAAAATCAATAATGTCATGTTTTACATCAGGAAATGACAATGAGACCAGACACCAAAGCTCAGAAAAAGAAAAGAAGGTAAGCTTCCTATTCTGACATGTTACTAAGGCGTATTACAGATTTTGCTGTCCAAGGCAAATCAATGTCATATTTCTGTTGTACGAGAGGGGCCAAATTTTATTCGAAATGAATCGAAATAACTCCCGCCTGGCATGCAGGCTTGTGCCTATGCGTCCTTAACTGTGGGATGAGCATGTAAACGTGCACCCAAAGGGGTTTCCCCGAGGGGCTCTGTGTTTATGTTCTGTGGACGCTAATACTCTATATCCTTCCCGTAGCACAGCAGACATTCTCTTGATAATCAATGCAGGATCTCCACATCCATCCCTCATCTCTCTGCAAACGGCCTGAAGAAGGCACGCAGACAGCTTGATAGAAAGAGTCATTGTGATTGCAAAAGATGAGTTCTGAAGATTTCGTTTTTCATGGACAGCGTAATGCAGAATATATCGTAGATCAAACAGATTATGACTTTGAGATGGTTAAACTAAGCGGATTGAAAGCCCACCTACTTAGACTCTCGGATACAGCTTCATTTCTCATAAAACACTTCTCCGCCTCCTTGTTGGCCTTTTTAATGCAACGTAATAAATATACAGTATGTGGTTGTATTTACTTACTAAAATATGACGTGAGACTAGCAATGGAAGATTTTTTTTTTTTTTTTTTTTTGTAATTCTGTTCATTATACTTTCAGAACGCAAGTGTCCAAATCCGCATCAGACAATGAGGCATTGGGTGAGTCAAATTAATAGATATGGTTGTACTGTGGTGAATATCTTTTCTTTTTAAAATACAGTATACAGTGGAGCGTATAAGGTTGGACAATTTTTTTCTAAAGCAAGCATGCGGTGTTGATTGACCTACTCTGCTGACTTTCCACTTTTGACCGCACTCTGATTTTTCAACTAAAATCCTGGACATTTGTGACCCACCCCCCACTCCCGTTCAGCAGATAACCCTGCTGGAAATGCAGCGTTTTGGAAGACTGCCATGAGCCCAGAAGATTTAGCCCACATCACTGGCCATCACAATGAAGGTAAATAGGAAATAAATCTGCTAAGCTGATCTATCGGCCAATGTTCATTTGGGCTCTCGGCAGGGTGCTCCCTTCCACTTCCCGCTTTAGCAGACAGTTCATCAAAACGATGCAAAATTTTACAATGTTGAGTGATGATCAATACAAATAGATCACATGAATATATATTAGAATAATATAATTTTGTTTATTTTCATCTGCAATTGGCTGGGCTCAGCTTGAGCTCACCCACAACCCTAATAAGGATAAGCAAAAATGGATTGAAGGATGTCATGTCCAGTGCCAAATTGGTGATTAATGCTGTATTTGTTTTTGAACTGCATCTCTCTTTTTTTTTTCTTTTGTAGAGATGAAAAGGACAAAGCACAGAGTAGACAACAAAGGAGGGAAATCCGCTCATCAATGTGCTACCAAAAAAAGAGACAAAAATTCTCCAAGTCAGGTAAATCACTCCAATCCACTAAAACAGAGTCAGTTTCACATTAGTATGACACTTGGAACAGGACATTGTTGCCCAAATGATATGGATTTTTTTTTTTTAAGCCGGTGCCGATTTATCCTCCTGACTACCAGTAGTTCAAATTTGTCCTCTGTAGAGGACATTAAAATTTCACAATCACCGCAAGTATTTTGTGTCTGTCTCTGGTGAGCAAAATGGCAGAAGAATCGAACAGAAATGCTGATTCGTTTTTAATACAGAGAGCCACTGCTCTGTGTAATCTCTGAGCCACATGGCAGAGCAAGAGAAAAGGCTTAGAGCACTTGTGGCAGGTCACCTAGCGTCCATTGCTGCTTAAAGCTCATAATAGTGAGAAGCAGACAAAGCCAGGGATAAGCAGCACCCATATTAGAACCCCCACCCATCAAAAAACAAAAAAAAAAGAACCTTTTTTTTTTGGGTCTATCTGCACTCCTTTTCAGAACATCAACACCAAAGGAGCAACAACAGAGTCGAAACAATCAGAAAAAAGGAACCAAAAACCTGGAAAGAAACAGACCGGAAAGAATGGGAAAGAGACGGCGAAGAAAACTTCCAACAGCACAGGTAATAACACAGCTTTACAACTAAATGGCACTCAGCAGAGCACCAAATTTTTGACGTTTATACTGTAAATCCTCACATCCTGCATATCCCTCGATGTTGTCAACATGGCTCGACTAATTATTTCAAATGTCAAAAGCAGACACTGCGAGATCCTACAGTATTTCAAGTATGGGGTTGGGGAATCCCCACCAAATGTATTCTGGAAGACATTAACCATATCCCTCGATGTTGTCAACATGGCTCGACTAATGATTTCAAGGGTCAAAAGCAGACACTGCGAGATCCCGTTTCAAGTATGGGGTTGGGGAATCCTCAGCAAAAGCTTTCTGGAAGACATTAACCATGACTCATTGATTAGGCAAATTTGTAATCATATTCTAAATTGTAATATTTATCAACGCAAGGCTGAAAATGGCACAGATGCTAACAGATGCTTTGTTATGGTTCCGGACCAATCCGGAACAGGAGCGGATACCGCAAACGTAGACAATGATAATATAAAGTACAAAAAAGGTTTATTTGCAAAATAAGGTTGCGAGACTGACAAAGTGCAACATAAATCACTGGGAACATCCCAGGGCTAACTAATGAAATGTATTATTATTATTATAACAAGAACGACACAGGTCTAGAAAATATGCACTTGGACGTGAGCAAGGCAAATTAATCAACAGCTGGTAATGGCTTGGCAGTCTCTGGACAGGTGACAGATAATGACAGGTGCATTATTATTGTTATTATTATTATTATTATTATAACAAGAACTATGCAGATCTAGAAAATATACACTTGGATGTGAGCAAGGCAAATTAATCAACAGCTGGTAATGACTTGGTAGTCTCTGGACAGGTGACAGATAATGACTCGAAACAGGTGCGGAATGGCAGGGAGAGCCCTCCACTGCCACCTGCTGGAGACCAAACAAAACAGAAACATGACACTTCCTCTTTTCCCTGCAGTATCGGGACTCATGATATTTCTCTTATCCTCAGTGTACCCCCCAGTGGGAGCCAAGAGCCCCCCAAATGTTCCACACCACCTGGATGTGCCCCACAGATCCGACAGGAAGCTCTACCTGGGCAAGTCCTCTACTCTTCCCACACAGGAAAACGCAAACGCATGCCGCTGTATCGATATGATCAGCCTGCCTGGTGGTGCAACACCCACTCACTACCACAACCACAACCCAAACCAGCGCTGGAGCAACCCAGCTGACAACAGCGTCTCCTGGGGCAACATCCAGCACAATTGCCGAAGGCCGCTCACGGAGTACCGCGTGTGCTCCAGCGACTTCAACCTTCCTCGCCAAAAGGAGATGAAACAGCACGAGGGCAAAGGTGACAGCTTGGATCTGAATTGTACAGCCCAGATTCCCCCAAAAGTGACGGTGTCCGTCACCGACTTGGATCTGTCAGAACCCGACGTAAGTCTCCAGCAAAGTAGCAAACAACACAAGTCATACATCTGAGCTTTTTCGTAAACACGTCACATTAGCTGCCACTTGTTGCCAGGCGGAAGTCACCGGGCTCGATCATGACTGCTCAGCCGATTAAAAAAAATAATAATAATAATAATGTCACCCACTTGGTTGTTTGAATGACAAGTAGAAGACAGACAGACGCAAGGAAATTATTCAAGAGAATTATTATTATTAAGTTACTTCAAGATTAAGAGACTTAAAAAAAAGTCGGGGCATGCTCAAAGATTTCTGAGAGGCAAGTCATCTTTAAAATGTAAAGAAAAAAAAATGTAAATAACAACTTCACCTGTAAGTATTTTGCCATTTCTTGTGTACAGTACTTGCCAAAGGTTATCCATTCAACACATCAACATTCGTTTTAACTCAAACTTTCGTTTCAGCTTCGACATCGTCACAGTACTGACTGCCTGACCTCAGAGTTTGTTTGATATCTTTTCCGAATTTAAGACCCTTGATGATCATACCCAGTGGGGCACGTGAACTGCGTGTCCTCTTTGCCGCGTATTCTGAAGCTTAACTTCTGAGGCGATTGTTTACACTGAGTAGAATGATCCCATACACAGATGACAAGACCCCTATAGGAGCTATAGTGTCATTAGTTTTTCGAGCTAAAACGCAATGGAGTTTAAGAGACATTTACAAAAGACTCGTTTTTATCTGAAAACTGGCTTTTCGGGTAAACAGAGACTATTTTGGCAAATGTGCATGAAACTGTGCCAACGTGGGTGGTTGTTCACCTTTAATGGTTGGAAACTTTTTTTTTTCCAAAAGGCCATACAATAGAAGGAAACACTAAGCAAAGAAATGTGTACTCAATCACCCAAGCACTTAATTCCGGTGTTTCACGATGCACAAGTCAATCTTAGGTTGGCTTAGCCGTTAGCATGGCTTCCCTATCTTTCCTTGTAAACCCTGAAAATATACTTGTCAGAAGTGAGGCTTCCTCACTGCCATAAAATAAGAAAACCTTCATTTGTCTCACAATGGAGACGTTCACAATTTAGAGGTGATAATTACTGACCTTGACTCCACAAAGCGTTTAGCCGCACTCGAAGCCTGTCGCTAGCTAGCTGGAGCAGTGTCAGAAGCAACACGTTTGCCTCGACCTCTGACTTCCCGCGATAGGTGACGTGCGTGTGTGTTTTGAAAAAAAAAAATCAAAATTTTGCCTCACATACTACAATACAAAACATTTCATTTTGACCCCGTGCTTACTTGGTTAATATCTTTAGGAAATGGTCTTCACACGTCATGTTTAAAGACAGAGTTCAAAAACACGATATAGAAAAACAGCCAAAACAATTGGAAATGGAACGGCTGCCCTGTGCGTCAGTGTAAAAAAAAAATAAAAGAGAAACCGTAATCTGGATTGACAGGAGTTTGCGTCTGATTGCAAAGGCAGGGATTAGGCAACCATTTTGTCTTTAAAATCGCATGGTTTTAACAAGTGAGTGATTGAAATCCTCCTGCAATGCAATGTAATTTACTGGGGACACCAGTGTGTGTGTGTCCCCCCCACCGTGAAAGCCCTCAAGTCTGTCATACGATCCAGAAAAGGAGAAGATCCAACAAGTAACAAGTGACAGGCGGGAATTCATTTCGACACAACAAAGTTGCCACTTCAAGCATCAGCACTTCCTCAAAAGCAAAACCCAACATTAAGAAATGAATAGAAAAGAAACTTAAAATCTTCTGGCATCATGTAACCTCAACCTGTCCCCACAATGCTATTAAAAGGATAGTTCGAGGACTGCTGAACTTTTCCCAATTTGCTACTTTCATATGGTTTGGAGTCAAAAGTGCAAAATGAGCTTGTAGTTTTATAAGAGTACAAAACTCCCCGATGGGACTAAATGTAAATTTTAATTCTGAAATGGGTGGAAACGATTCCATTGCGACTTTAATCCCGAAATAAAATGTCTTTGAATGAAAAAAATAAAATAAAATAAATGGTGGAATACTGCAATCATGTTTATTATTTAGGGATTTTTTGGTTTCATGACATGAGATGTTTGAAACCGACTGGCAGGACTCATTCAAAATAAATTCCAGTTAAAAAGTGAAAACTAATGGAGGGACATATTTTTATTTTGGACGTAGGTTTATTGAAGCTAGATAACACTCTGTCGTCAGCATAGTGTGTGCTGTTGATTTTACCTGACGCAAATTCAAAATACTGACTGTAATTCTAGCCGAAAGCAAAACCCTTTCCTTCCTCCCTTGCTGTTAATGTGTGATGATATGGACACATGACTCATCCGTGCACTGAAAACGTGACGCGTCACATACGTTACGTCACTCCCTCGGACAGGAATGGGATGTTGAAGACTCCCACAATGCCTCACGATGTTCAAGCTGTAAATACCGGAATTTCCCTTTCTTACATGTTCCATAATGTATAGTTCGTCATCACAGGTCACTGTGGCTGGAAAAGTAAAGCATAGAGAGTCTCCCTAATGGAGGTACATGGGTACAGTCAATCAATTGTATGATCATTTCCATCAGGCTCTCAAATTGCCACACTCTCATCCTTCATTTGTCGCCTGTTTCCTCTATTTGTGCTTTGCGGAAGAATTGTATTATCATAAGCAATGTGAAAGGTACAACACAAAACAAAAGAAAGAAAAAAACAATTTCAAATGCTGCATCTGTGATGTCATTTTACCTCAAGCTTGATATTACCTCAAAACTAAATGCTGCTCTTCCTGGATATGGTGTTGCTGTTTTTGTCGAGCGGGGCCGCAAAGCCTCAATTTTCCCCTTTCAAAAGCGATTCTGCAACGACAGACACAAAGTTGATTGCTTAACATCCTGTGTGTTGCAACGAAGTCAGACACGAAGACGCACAGTCCCAGCGTCAGTCCGCACTTGAAAGTCAGGAGACCAAAAAGGAATTTAAAAAAAGACATTCGACTTGAGAACCTAAAAGAGAAAATGTTGCAGAGGGCAACTTCCAATGTGTCCGACAAAACTAAGAGCAACAAACCAAAGGTAGGAGATGACACTCAAAATAATAGACAATAGAATGTCAATTGTATTGTAATTTTACCGACAAGTACTGAAAATTTAAGGGAAAAATGTTTCTCATTTAATTGCATTCTTGTACAGTATTTCCAATTTTTTTTTAATGAAACAAAATCAGAGAATTCGATTAAAATTAGGATGAGGGCTTTAGAATTAAAGCCCCCAACTGGCCTGTTTATATTTCTGGATGGCGGAGGACATTGTTTAGCCCGTCGCTGCATTAAATCAATCCACAGAGGACTATCGAGGAGCACGCGGCTCATATTTAACCCAGGATTTTCCCACGGATTACTTGGTTTATATAATTATTCGCCGCTCTGTTGTGCAGATGACGGAGGGTTTGGGACAGATTATAATGACGTTAGATTCATGGAAAAATTGAGGCTAAAAAATAAAAACAGGGAGGGAAAGGGAAGCTGGCATGAGTGCGTAATGGTTTAACTCTGTTTATCATATTGGATAATGCATAAACCCTCGCCACGACAATGTGTTACATCATATGCACTCACCTGCCACAACATTTGATACATCTGCGCAATCGAAGAACATCCAATACATCTGCTGATGTATTGAAAATCTCTTTCAAGGCAACAAGCCGGATAGAACTGTGCTGGGAGTTGACTCGAATTACATGGTTGCATTATTTGCTCTATGTGAGGGGAAACATATGAGAAACATCTCAACATTATACAGTGTAACCCAACAACTGCTTATTTGCAACTTATTTTGACAATGACCCCCCCCCCCCCCCCCCCACACTCGCCCCCACACCCAAATGTGAATAATAATTTTAAATGTCCTCCACAGCGTTCCACAAGCTTTGGGAAGTTTGAGAGTCTCAGACCTAATCCATCTCCAGCCAAAGCTGAGGAGCATGGAACAGATGTGGTTTGTACATTTTACTTTTCAGCAAGGCTGGGCGCACACACACACACACACACACACACACACACACACACACTCTCTCTTTCTCTCTCCTCAAAAACCTGATTTCGTTTGATCCCCCCCCTTTTTTTTTTTTTTTGCTTCTTGGAAATATATCAAATTACTGTACATTATGTGAATACTTGTTGTAAATCTTCCTTCCTGGGATTTGCTTGATATCTCCTGAACCACAACTTGTATCAACTTCCACAGAAATAATGGCAGAAATGTTGTTTTCATCACCAATAATAAGAAAATAAGCGATTCCAAGTGGTAAAATGTCCCTTTCATCCAACCCTTCTGAATTAAGGGGGCTGATGTGATTGGAAACGTTAAACTAACTCCTTTCTTGTCCTATGCAAAAATGTGTGTGTTTCTTCACAGGAATGTATGTGTGTCTGTATGTAAAATTGACGCAGATTTGCACAAAACTTATTATTCGCAGCTCCCTGAAGAAAGTGAGAGCTTGGAGGCAAACAAGTCAGCTGGAATCGGGAAGAAAATGAAAGCCATTTCACTGACCATGCGCAGAAAAATGGGCAAAAAACATATCAAGTCGTTGTCTGAAGAGATGGTGCGTTTTCCTAAAAAGCACAATTTGGGCATTGAACTGAATTATTCACAAATGAAGGTTCACGTGCCATGAATGAACTTTTTCATTGTTTATGTGTGACAGGGCGACGACGCAGAGACAGAGACGACACCTGCAACTGAAAAAAGCTCCACAAGAGCCAGTAACTCTTTGGAGAGTCTTTACAGCGGCCTAAGTTCCTCAAGTACGCATACACTCATATTACAGTTCACTTTTACTACAAAATAACATTAACGGCCTATGACACAACAGTTTTTGGTTTTGGTTTTTTTACTTAGACACACACACACACACACACACACACACACACACACACACACACACACGCGCACACACACACACACACACACATATATATATAATTTTATTATTATAAGAGGCCCGGTGGAACAGTGGTTAGTGCATTGACCTCACAGTGCAGAGGTCGTGGGTGGTAGGCTGACTGAACACTTAAATCGTCCCTGGGTGTGAGTGTGAGCGCGGATGGTTGTTCGTCTCTGTGTGCCCTCCGATTGGATGGATATATTATCATTATTATTATTATTATTATTTATTTTTATTTTTTTTTATTATTATATATTGTGCTTCAGGTGGTGTAACCAGTGAGTCCAATGGTTCCGGTCAGAGGGACAGTTTGAAGTTGGAGGAGGACGGTTCCTATCGGGGTCAATTCTGTGGCAGAGCCCGTGTCCACGCGGATTTTGTCCCCAGCCCGTATGACACAGACTCCCTCAAACTTAAGGTCAGACACGTGTCATTCTGAAACTTGAAAAAATAAAAATAAAAAAAACAACTTAAGTTTGATCCAAATGTTTATTTTCCATCAATATTCCAGGCTGGTGACATTATCAACATTATCAGTAAGCCTCCAATGGGCATCTGGACGGGTATGCTCAACAACAAGGTGGGGAACTTTAAATTCATCTATGTGGACGTTTTGGTGGAGGAGGAGGAAAAACAAGAGAGAGATAATGACGATGATGATCGTCATCATCACGACGGCGACGACGAAGCTCCCAAGGTACGACAACAGAAGCTATGCAAAAGACCTCGACCCAAAACGTTGCTGGAGCTGCTGGAGCGACTCAATCTAGAGGTGAGGATGTCTGCATTAAGTGATTTGATAGAAAGTTTAACATTTAGACAGACATATACTGCTTCCGTGAAAACGCCGCCAATTGTTTGTCCCTTTTCGTGCCACGATTCACTTATTAGAATTTAAATTGGAAGTGTTGTCTCTCCTCCAAGGAGTACGCGTCTGCCCTGCTGCTCAACGGTTACCAGACGGTGGAGGACCTCATCCACCTGGAAGAGAAACACCTCATCGAGCTCAACGTCAAAGACCCCGAGCACAGACGCAAGCTGCTCGCTGCCTCCCAGTGTCACTACTCAGAAGGTCAGAGACCGCCCCCCTCCCCCCTCTCCAACACTGAGCACAAATGACATTGTGGATCAAAAGTTGAGCCATCTATCTCTGTCCAGAGGTAGAAGCGATTCCGGGTTGTCATGGCAACGGCAATGCAATGCTATTGCAGTCAGAAGTTTTTTTTTTTTCTTCACTTAAAAGTAGCCTGACTTGAGTAACATCCAGTCAATATAGAAAATCTACACACTTTTCTCTAAGTGCCAGGTTCTTATGATGTAAAAAAAAAAAACACACTAATAAACAACCTTGAAAACTCCCCCTCAGTTCGTTGGAAATGTTTTTGACAACTTCGAATGTAAAACGACAGATCGAAGCCGAGATGTTTCAAGCCTTACAGGAACTCTTTATTGGTGACTTCCTGCTAGTCAAATAGAAAGTGCTGAAGAGGCCAGAAGGTGTTGTTTTTTTTTTCCTCTCTGCTGTCTCAAAGCAGAAAGCAAAAATAGCCATCGTCAGTTTTGAAACGGAATAAAACAGGCAGGTTAAATTAAGCCTGTCTTTGTTGCAGTACCGCAATGAACCCAAGCAGATGTGCCCGAGGCAAAATAAAGGTGATACTTCTTTTGTTTTTTTAGAGCCTTTGTGTCATGAAAAGTCATTTTGTAGAGTGTGATGACACGGCGGCCGTGTGGTTCGCACTGCTGCTTCACTGTTCTGAGGTGTGGGTTTTGATTCACGGACTTCCTGTTTGTAGTTAACATGTTCTTCCCACGTTTTCATGGTTTTCTCCCGGTACTCAAGCTTCTTCCCATATTCCAAAAGAAGCTTGCACTTTTTCCACCATTTAACCACATTCCTGGGTGATCATTTTGAGTCAAAGTTGGACTTTTCTGCTGCAGGTGATGATGCGAGGGATGTGGATGAGAGCAAATCATCTGGTGGGCCACAGGAAGAAGACAGCGACTGTCCAAGGGACTCAGGCTGCTTCATCCCGTCTGAGTGCTCAGACAGCAAGGATGACACAGAGCAGCTCGCAGACGTCGTGGCTTCCTAACATTGTTCTCAGATGCATACTGTCCTTCAAAAAATCAAAGCCCTCCTTGATATTTGCAAACGGTTGACTTGGGGTGCTGGCCTGACCAGCATTTTGTCACATTTTCAGCGATAATCAACGTGTAATTCTGATTTCTAGGCGGTTAATTTGTGTTGTGACAAATGACCACTTTATCGTATTTATTTCATTCAAAATCTGAAAATCATTCGGTATTTGTACTTCTTTATTCATTATGTCATTCGAAACTCCCTTATTACATACTTTCAACACGTTGCCACCTTGGTGACCTTTATTTTCTTTGAATAAAGTGATAGTAAGTGGAATATTTTTTCGGCATGAGATTTGGATAATGTATAAATTCCAAAGTTGCCTTCTACTGTATATACGTACAGTATACTGTGCAGGGAGTTAAATGTGCTTGAGTGAATAACGGGGAGAGGAAATAGTGTGTTCGTGTGAATAATTCTGTAAATAGCCATGAATAAACACTGCTACTGTCTTATTTTTTCTTACTCGTTATTATTATTATTATTGGAATATTAGAAACTATTAAATTCAAACAACAGTAACAATATGTTCATTTTTTAATAAATAATACTTTTTTAATTGTTGAATGTTGAATAATTTGGAATGAAATATTTAAAAATACGAGAAACATTTTAATGAATCAAAAAAGAAAACGCGCGCGCGCGCACACACACACACACACATACACACACACACACACACACACACACACACACGCACACATACACACGCACGCTCGAACGCAGACAACAAAGCAAATAAAGAGCAACAGCTATTTATTTACAAGGAGTGCTGCAAAACATGCTGTAACCCACAGCCTCACCATCGTTAAAATATCCTTTTTAAATGACATTTTTAGTTAAAAAAATAAACTTTTTAAAAAGACATAATTTAAATTATAAACGTATACGTAATAATTTAAAAATAAATGTATTCCTACCTTATGTTTTTTGTATTATTTACGACGATTATTGACCAATATCAAACGTGCTCTGTGGAAAAAACAGGATAACACAGCAAATCCTTTCTCTTATGACGCTACTCGCATGCCATTGTGGGACATGTAGTACAAAACGACGATTGTTATTGCTCTTATCCTTATTGACCGAGCGGCTTTCTGACTACATTACCCAGCATGCTCCGCTACAAAGCTGCAACGCTGACGTGTTTAACGCAGAAATTGTGACTGTCGCATTGTCGTTTCGGGAAACAGAAAGCGGCAAGTACTAATTCAGAGGTGTTAACAACCGTTTCTTGTTATTTCTACTGCGGGCAGATTCGCAAAAGTACGTGACGATGGCAGGAGAAATATCAATGATTGGTAAGTCGAAAAACAACCGATTTGGATAAATAAAATATCTCTCTACCTACCTAGCTGTCCATGTATGCCTGTATACGAATCTAATCGAAACTAATGAATCGGAGGGAGCGTACTGACAGTGCGGTTTATGTATACTACAGGTTCTATGATCCTGGCTCTGTTCTTGGCCGGTTATTTGGGTCAACAGTACTTGCCTCCACCCAAGCCCAAAGTGATTGGCCTGGACCTGGGAACCACTTTTTGCTCTGTGGGCGTTTTCCACCCTGGCAGCGGAGTGGTGGAGGTGATCGCAGATGAAGAGGGCAGGAGGAGCATCCCGAGCGCCGTCTCCTTCACCAACACGACGGTGCTGACTGGGCACGATGCGGTAGATGTGGCTGACAACAACCCCCACAACACCATCTATGATGCAAAGAGGTTCATCGGGAAGGTCTTTACTCCACATATGCTGGAGCAGGAAAGCAGCCGGTATCCCTTCAAGGTGGGCTGGATCCATGACTCTAATGTCATGTCACTCCAATAGAATTGTCAAGAAAAAGATGCTTAGTCTGGCTTCGTAGAAGTACAGATTGCTTAGTAAATAAAGACTGTGAAAGTAGAAGTAAACCAAAAATACATAATGATCAACATTTTTCCAGGTGATGTCCAACAACGGGAGAGCCGAGTTTGTGATCACCACCAACGTTACATTCACTGTGACTCCCGAGTTCATCGGCTCTCGGCTGCTGCTCAAGATGAGGAAGATGGCCGAGCGGCAACTGGGCACGCTCGTTCACAAAGCCGTCATCTCTGTGCCCGCAGAGTTTGACGAGAGGCAGAGGGAGTACACGATCAAAGCCGCCAACCTCGCCGGTCAGCCAAAGAAACAACAGCAGCAACCTCCACCGATCAATGTCATTCTCACAAACGTGACTAATCATCACAACTGACTCACAGGCTTGGAGATCTTGCGTGTCATCAACGAGCCCACGGCGGCGGCCATGGCGTATGGCCTTCACAAGGTGGACGTCTTCAGCGTGCTGGTGGTGGACCTCGGCGGAGGAACCCTGGACGTGTCTCTGCTCAACAAACAGGGTGGCATGTTCTTCACCAGAGCCATGGCCGGTAAACCGCCTTCTCCACTTTACTCTTAATAACCGGAACAAAGTGGAAAGCAGACCCCCATCAAGGTGGCGCAAATGTGATTGAATTGGCCAATTGTGGAGGGTGGGGGGCTTTGTACTATCACGCCATAACATGGACATAATGTTCCCCTTACATATTTGTGCTTTGGCCGCATCTTGTGCTATCTTGGTGTCTTGGAGTGAGTTTAGGAGTTTCATGGAGTCTTCAGTAGTGCTTTGCCACCATCTTGTGGCAACTGTAGGCAAATGTAAACCTTTGTATGGAAGTGGCATCAATTACTCAGATTACTTTTGTTTTGTAACAGAGCTGTATAAATGCCACAAGATGGTGGCTGACATCAGTCCATCCATTTTCGCATCGGATTATCCTCACAAGGGTCGCGGGGGGTGCTGGAGCCTATCCCAGCAGTCCTCGGGCAGTAGACGGGGGACACCCTGAACTGGTTGCCAGCCAATCACAGAGGTGGCAGACAACTTAAAATGAAAAGGACCATAAAGCATCAAACTCATGTATCAGGCATGAACACAGTCATATCCGCTTGCAGACCGGCCTAAATAACACGCTTGGACAACCTGATGTGACATCACACACGGACGAACGAGTCCTAAAACTCACCTTCTGGCAAGCTCAACAATAAATGTTACGGGTTACCGGACAGGCAATTTGCAATAAAGTACAGCGACTATTTACCGCATCAGGCGAAGCGAAAAACACAGCTCCAACTGTGTCTTCCTGCAGGGAACAACAAGCTCGGCGGTCAAGACTTCAGCCAGAGGTTATTCCAGTACGCCACAGAGCGAGTGCGACAGGAGTTTGGCGTGGTGCCCACTCTGAAAGAGGACCTCCATCGTCTCCGGCAGGCCGTGGAGGCGGCCAAAATCAACCTCACCCTCCAGGCCAGCGCCACCATCAGGTCGCCGCTGCACCTGCTCACCCGTGACGACTCGGCCCCGGAGCGGGTTCTCTTCGAGGCGGCCGTCACACGCCAACTCTTCGAGGAGCTCAACGAGGACCTCTTCCAGAAGATTTTGGCCCCGTTGGAGACGGTGCTCACAGAGGGCCACCTGGACAAAGACGAGGTGGACGAGATCGTGCTGGTGGGCGGCTCCACCAGGATTCCGCGCATCCGCCGGCTCATCGCCGAGTTCTTCGGCAAGGAGCCCAACACTTCGGTGGACCCCGACCTCGCCGTGGTGACGGGCGTGGCCCTCCAGGCGGGCATCATGGGCGGATCGTGGCCGTTACAAGTCAGCGCCATCGAAATCCCCAATAAACACCTTCACAAGACCAACTTCAACTAGTTGAAAACCCGGCACAGTGCCGAGACCACCTGAATGTACTTCATTTTGGGCCACCACCGAGAACTAGTGTGGGCTAACTGTTATTTGTGGAGGACCGAGGGGAAGTTTTATGACAGCCACAAAAACATTCGTGAGAATCGTGGTCCGAATCCAAACCGGTGTCAAAATCTATCAATATGTCATCAAAGACGATGAATAACATTCACTAAAACTAACATGCAGATGCACTGCTACACAAGATATAAAAAAGGCTTCGGGGAAATAAGGGACTGTCACCTTTTTGTTCAAATTGGAATTCAACCAGGATTTAAACCAGCACTCAACTAATAGGTGGCTTTTTTGTAACCAGAAACTAGTTAGCCCACTCGGTTTCTCGGGGGACTCCGTTGCATCTGAAGAGCCAGACTTTTTAGCTGCGCTTCATCAGCAACATTTCAAGTCGTACTTGGAGACAAATGGGCCAAACGGCGCGTTGGTTGGACCAACGAGAAATACGAATCTCAGGAAGTGTACAGACTTGGTAATTATTGACCACAGGGTTGTCGGTTCAAGACCCAGTGGGGACACTGGGAACTGGAATGAGGTGCACACATTTTCCCCCTCACCTTAAAACCTGTCATTTAATCAAAAGAAGAACTATTGCGTATTTATCTTTTTCAATGTTCGCAAGTTACTAGTCTAATGACTTTATCAGCCGGCAGCGGCTCAGCGGGTTTGAATCGCAGCTCTGGGCTTACTGTGTGAAGTTTGGGTGTTCTCTCCTGTACTTGTGTGGGATTTCTTGGGGTATCTTGGCTAACTTCCAGATTTCATAAACATGTGTGTTATGTTCATCGAAGACTAAATTGTCCATACTTTTGACTGGTGGTCAATATGTGCCTTTTTGATTGGCTGGCAGGATAGGTTCCAGTTCAAGCCAAATGAGAAGCAATAGTTAAAAAAAAAAAGTGGCTGTGAACTATCAGGCTGTTTATGAAACAGCACAACGTGGCTTAGCATAATTTATGCTTTCTTTACTCCTGATTATTGAACAGAAGTGAGCATATACTGTTGGTTTTGTGGCAACAGTGTTTTACAGGTACTGAAAACTGGGAACGGATTGGTTGGGAATTATGAAGTTCGAAATGGTGTTTGCACAAAATCTAAAGGCTTCTGCTGCAAAGCAACCGTGCCAGTAAAAGCCTACTAGAGCAGCTTAAACTATGTGTGGGGGTTAATCAAATTGGTGGCGGGTGTGTGCCGACTCCAATGTAACATACGTTTGCAGGCGACTGGTTAATTTTGAACGCCGCCACAACACCCCTAAGATGATTTACACACATGTGCAACCACATTATCGTGGTTTGTTATTTTTATTTCCCCTTCTTGAAAATATTTGCTTTTTTTTCCCAGTAAAGTTGTACAGGTTAAAGGTCACATAAGTGGTGGAAAAGATTTCAAAATTATTTGAGTTGGGGTATTTTTCGATCCCTTGGGCAGGCTTCACAAATCATAGCCCCACAATAAAAAAATATGTAACTCAAAATTTTGTTATTTCTTTGTGTTTTGGATGAAAAGAAAAGTAAGTCACACCTGCAAATGGTCGGAATGATGATTACAATATTTTTATGCTCTAATCAGAATTTTAATACATTGAGGGGAAATACAACAAGGTTTCACAGCGGACCTTTTCATGCATAAGCAGTTCCTCTAAAGTTCAAGCACTTTCGAAAAGGGGAAAAAACAGACATTTCCATCTGATTAGAATTACGACGACAGTAATGCGCTCTCCTGTTTGGAATGAAAAATCAAACGGCGCACTTATAGACTGAACTAGAAGTTGTTTTTATTTAACTTCCGAGGCACAGTACAATTCAAGCACACAAGGCAAATCCCCCCCCCCGTTGAGTTAACTTACAGTTTTATTCACACTTGATCATATTTTTCTTACAGCAGCAAGTGACATGAAGTTGCTTTTGGTTTGTAAACAAGACCGACCGTCGACTTGTCTGCAGCCAAGTGAAACGGGGTCCATCAATACAGTTACGGGACTCGCATTTGTGTTCTATGCCGGCTTGCAAACACCACTTTTCATTGTAGCGCAGCATCACGTGCACTACACGGCACACAAGCGGAAAAAAAAACCCAACAACCCACGACCGTTGCACACACCCAACCAATTGGGAGACTTACTAGAAGTGGTTTAAAAAGAGGAGTAACACTTTTTTTTTGTCCTGGCTGTACAGCTCACATACAGTAAATGATCATAACTGTTCCATGCGCCCTCGGGACTTCTTTAGACAGCATTTGCACTGTTAGACTTTAAATAGAAATCAGGACACACAGTATGAAGACGATCTGGAAGCGTTTTTCATGCTGAAATACAGTTTGGTTTTGTATATAGGGTATATGCATTTAAATATTCAAAAAAATAAAAGGCATCAGTGCTTTTAAAATAGAAGGAACTCCGTTTTGGGTAAATAAGCTTAAAATGAAGAATATGGAATTCTCCAATTAAAAATGACAAACAAGCCACTTTTTTTTTCTTAATCCGGTGCAGTATAATTGTTAAGTACAGTTCAGTATTTAACTTAAATGTGTGTTTTATTTTAGTTTTTTTAGCAATACACTGTAACTGAATGATCTTGTTTGCCGTTGCACGAGGTTTGAAAAGAAATTCCACGGCTTGGAAAAGTGCTGAGTCCGATGCGGGTCCGGGAAGCCGAAGCTTATTTACACAATGTACACAAAGCAACCGGAGGTTCGCTCGCTCGCTCCGTCATTGGCTCCCACCTTTGTCCGCGTAGTAGTCATAGTCATTGGGGCCGTCCGCATACGGCTCCTCGCCGCTCCCGACGCCATTCCCCACCTCTGCAGGGAGCCAAGGAAAGTTTGACATCACTGCATTGTGTTTTACCTCAACCCACTCCTCTTTGTGTAAGACAGACCGGAGCACAGCTAAGTTCCCGCATGCGTGGCGTTCTCCCCGAGGGGAGTTGGCGGGGGAAGGATGGAAGGTGAGTCGCATGGAGGGATGGAGGATGCGGGAAAAGGGGCAGCAGGTAGCGAGGGAGAATGAAAAAGGATGATGACGGCACAGACGATGGGGACGTCACATACGGGATGACGCGCAGGCTGAGGCAACTACTGGGCTTGACCTTTGATGGGATGAAGAGGAGGAGGAAGAAGAGGAGGAAGTTCACCGACACTCAAAAAGGAGACGGCATGCCGGGAGAAAGACGGGAAAGCGAGACGAATGAGAGGAAGGTCCTTCTCACCGGAGAAGATGAGTTTCTCCTTCATGACGTTGAGGTCCCGACTGGACCTCCTCACCGCGGCGCTCAACATGATCTGCTCGGGGTTGTAGCTTCGCATCCCGCTGGTGCGATACCTGCGGGAGGGTCACAAATGTCAGCTCAGGAAAGCACATCATCAACAACCGCTGCCTCTGCTCACGCTCTGCGCGTCTATGTGGCGATTTTTCCACCGCGGAGGAAGAATCGCAATTGTTGAGCCGATTGTGCGCTGTTGAAGGACAGATTAGCATGCGCTCGAGTGTTAGCTTCTGATAAGTGACACATACTACCGACGTTAAGGAAAATGTTGCTGATGTTTGGGCACGAGTATTTGTGATTGGCAATGATATCATTGGCAAATATTTCAGGACATAATAATGTCCATCGTTCCTTCCATCCATTTTTTAAACCGCTAATCCTCACGAGGGTCGCGGGGCGTGCTGGAGCCAATCCCGGCTGTCTTCGGACAGTAGGCGGGGGACACCCTGAACTGGTCGCCAGCCAATCGCATACATAACAATGTTGTTATTTAAAAATATAAACTTTCAAAAATAAAATTCATCATATTGTCACTACGGAGTATTGTGTGTGTTTTGAGAGACCCTTAAGTGCCCTCCCCAAACAATGCTATTTGTGTATTTATTTGACAAACCCCCCAAAAATCTTCAGAAATTGCTGATAAACATTCAATATACTGTAAATTTTTCACAGTAATCCGAGATGTGAACGTGAGAAGTGGCAGCAGTGTCGTTCAAGCGAGAGCCATGGGGAGAGAAGGGGGTGGGGGGAATAGACATGGACAGATGTGATTTTAGAAAAGAGCGGCAAGGGGGGAGACAAAAAAAAAAGAGCACATTTCAAAAGAGCGAAATGGTCAAAAGAAAGAGCGGGTTAACGTGAAAAAACAGGGGGGGGGGGGGGCGGGG